CTTCTTTGTTCTTTAGTTTGTGTATTTCGCATTATCCAATGTTTAGTCGTCTTCTCAGGACTTTCAGACTTTTATTCTCTTCTATAGTTCGCTGGACTTTTTCATTCTTAAGTTTCCTTAAATAGCTTTTGATACTTCTTTGTTTATTTTTCGCAGTTCTTTTTCGCCAATGCTTTCTTTTCCTTTGATTTTTCTTCTAATTTCCATTATTCGCTTTGTTTCGATGATTATTTTTTCGTCTTGGCATCTTTTAGGGCAGCATTTTACTTGAGCCTCTCGAAGAGCTTCTACGATATTTTCGTTTAGGGCAATTACATTATTCATGCATTCATTTTGTTGTAGGATTTGATTGTCCACTTCTGTCGAATCTTGGATCATGAACTCCATGATCATTACCGAGATTCATGAAATAAATACACTGGAAGTATTAATAAGACAAATTAAATTTGTCTTTCCAAAAAGTCGCTTAGAATATCCAAACAACCGCCGCACCTTGGGCGACTACCGGTCCGATGTACTAAGCTATTTAGTAAGTTAGCACTCTCTAATTTCAGATTTAGAATCATACCTGTTCCTAATAAATAAGTAAATAAGCATAATGGCATTTCCATGACTAGATAAGTTTGTTCAATGTTTTTTTCATTCAGGCTAATCGGTTACACAAATTATGGTTATTATTGAGTAGATTTTAGATTTTATGGTTTTTTCTATTTTTATACCAACAAGCTGAGGATACTTTGAACTATAATCTGATCAAGAAGATCAGTAGTTATATCATCATCATCATTTTGGCTTTACAACCCTGTGTGGGTCCTAGCCTCCCCAAGAATTCTCTTCCAGTCGTCCCTATCCATCGCCTTCCTCCGCCAAGAACGTATTTCCATATTTCTCATATCTTGGTCTATGTTATCAAGGAACCTTGTTCTGGGTCTTCCTCTTCTTCTTTGACCAATAGGTCTATCAAGGAGCGTTTTTCTAACTAGGTAGGTTTACTCCATCCGCATTACATGGCCTACCCACCTCAGACGTCCTATCTTAATGTGTTTTACGATATCTGGTTCCTGGTATATTCAGTAGTTATATTCTAACCTTAATTGTTACCGTTGTGATTTTCAGAACACTAGTTTTCTTCGTAACGTTTCTATGGGTACTAACTTACTTACAGTAATATTTATACCTCACAGAAGTATTTTAAGCTCACTAAATGCTGTGTTTTTACACTGTTTTCACTTTACTGACTCAAAGGGTTTTGTCCTCTTGAGCCTCCTTTCTATATCTGTGTTGTCGAGGAGCATCAACGTTGCTCCTTGGTACCCTATCCTGAAACCTCTCTATTTGTTCAATGTTTATTTGTCTGTACCACAGCTGTGTTCCATAGTGGTCTTAGTATTTTTTTGTAAATCAGTAGTTTGTTATAAATGGATAGTTTAAAATTTCTTCCAGTTTCAGAGGTATCCAGTTCATCTTTCCTAATTTTATGTTGATTTCTTCTCTATTCTTTTTAATATGGACTTTAACAGTTTGTTATTCTTTCACCCAATACGTTTAAGTTATCCAATATAAGATTTAGCATCGCATCTGCAGATTGGTTGTAGTTTTGGTTACCAGTAGTATTGTTACTCTGATTCCAATTATTCTTTTTTATTAGTATAGGTACTGACTACTTCATTTTATGGTCTATTTCCTTGTCTGTTGTTTACATTAACTTTTTCTTTAGTAGGTTCTGGAGTTGGAGGTCCTTAGGGCTGTCTTGGCAACTGAGTTTTTTTTCATTTGTTTATTTTTAATTTGCTGGAACTCCTTAGCCATGATACATCCTCGATAGTTTGCTGGATGGCTTCCTCCACAATGTACACACTTAATAGTAGGATTTTTTGGTTTGTTATACTAGCTATTTAGATGGGTTCTAGTGCATCTTGCACCCTGCAGTCTCCATTTGTATGTCCGTAAGAGTGGCACTTTTGACACTGAGGTAATAAATTATTTTTTTAATTGGACAATCTCCACTTTTGTGGCCATAATGTTTGTGATTTCTTCTGACATTTTGTTCTATTTTGTACGACAGTATTGCTTTACAATTGAGCTTCGGTAAAGCCCCAATTCATCTGTACACTTCGCACTGCAGGTCTTGTACAATTGTTTTTACATTACAAGGGTGATACAATTTTTTGGCCATAACTTTTATGGGTCTGTCTTGCTTAGTTCCGTAGCTGTTAAATGAATTGTGTAAAGAGAGAACTTAAAACAAATTGACTGGCCAGTTGGTTGTTAAAACAAGTGTCAATAAAACAATCATACGCACATTCTTGCTTATGCATCAGATTTATTATAGCTCTTTAGCTGTTTTGTAGTTTGTTGTTAAGTTTTTAAGGTTATTTTAGGTTTTAAGGATTTTAAAAGACGAGATGTTTATTATTTTTTCGACGAGATATTATTATAAATTTAATTTCCCCCAATACTAAATAGCGATCACTTCCTATTAGACCAAAAAAAGTTTTAAAACATAATCCTATGTACTATTTAAAATATAATGTTTTAAATATGTAAATTAGAAACTTTTTTGTAATTTTCATTTATTAATAATTAAGTACATAATATGTACCTATATTTATTAACCGATGAATACCCCGGTAATCAGAAAGCCTTATTCAAATTGTGATACAAATACTCTTTTTATGTTTCATAACATAGATAAGTGTAGGTTATAAAATAGATGTAATTTAAGAAAATCATTTGTAAACTACATATATAATTACATTGTAGAATTAGAGTGTAAAATCTGTTATTATAGAGAATATAATAATATTATAAATAAACAACGTGGTCATATTTTAAATAGATGTTTTATTTACTGGACAATTAAATTACCTCTATCGCTGCTAAACGCTAAAAAATTTGTCGTGACACCAGTGCGCAAGAAATTATCACTTGTGAATGAATCTGTCGTGAGCTATATAGGTCAAATTTTATATATCATAAAAATCATAAAAATCTCAGGATTCAGAAAATGTTTAACAGTGTGATACAACCCAAAACATAGCACCACATACAATGGCACATAACACATAGTACACAAATATCGTACCTACTTCCTTGTTTCTCAAGGCTACAAACAACGCTTCTTCGGCAGGTTGACACTCGGTCGAAGATGGGACAACATCGAAAAATGGTGAGAAAGTAACCTCACGGGATTTTCTTCTTTATACCTTCCTGAAAAAAAAACATGTATTTCTAAATTAAATATATTTAACTTCATCTTAAAATTTTCTTCAATCCAGATCCCCTGCCTTGAACGCTATTATTAGGTATAGAAGTTTTCCAGAACGTGTTTAATAAGTTCCAGGTAAACGTGTGCATTCAGAACACATAAATCAAATTCTAAGAAACAGTTTTAGGTACCATTTTGTTGTTTTCCATTCTATTTCCTTCCACAGAACTTAGTATCATATCAATGTTATCCACTTTTCCCATGTACTTATTCGTTTTTTCAGTTTTTCTCTAAAAAGCCGCATACTTATGCATTTATTTATTATTATGTGCCTATACTGTTTTGCCAGCCTAAATATATTTTGTGAATAGAATAAGATGGGTCAATGTGGTAGCCTACATCTCTAGAAGATAAGCACATTTAGAAGAAGATACAAATATACGTTTGTTGGTATCTTTGAAAATACTGGAATTTTAGTTTTGGAAACGTTTGTATTTAAACCGTACATTTCGCTATGACAAACTACCGCATTTATTATATTTTATAGTTCTTGTGCGTTGCTTGCTATTAGGACGGTATCATCAGCGTACCTGATGTTATCTATGCTGTTTCCGTTATTGTTGATTCACCTTAAACCTCGTCTAATGCTTTTCTGAATATAAATTTCGAATATAGACTAAATAATAGAGGTGATAAGACGCAACCGTGTCGTACTCCTCGTCAGATTCGTATATCTTCGGATGTTGCTCCGTTTCAATTGTTGCCATCCGGTGCCAAGATAGTTCTGATATAATTCGCAAGTCCCGTTCGTCAATTCCAGTTGTTCTCAGAATTTCGATCATCTTTTGATGGTTAATGCAGTCAAATGCTTTTCGATAATAAATAAAACAGGCATACACATCTGAATTATGTCTCTGCATCGTTGTGTTAACACATTTAAGGCAAAAAGAGCTTCTCGTGTTCCCAATCCGTTTCGAAATCCGAATTGAGTGTCACTTACCTGAAACTCACACTTCTTGTAACAGAAGATGTGATCTTATAACAAAAGAAATCTTGAATAAGTTGCCCAGAAAAGCAATAGCTCTATAACAGGGGAGGCCAACACAAATATAAATTTAACACCACCCGTGGATAACTCCGCAGATGTAGGTAGCGACCATAGCCTAGTATTATGTAAAATAAGAATCATCCCGAAATACTTTACAACCAAGAGAGCGGCGCCAACACAAACAAAAATCAAAGTCGAAGGACTAAATACGGAATCCACGGAGTACTTACCTATACAGAAAAATAATATCAGAAAAGATCGCTGTTAAAAAATTCCTAGTCGGTAGATCGCAAATAATTAGAAAGGCAGACAGTAAATTTCGAGTCCGATTAAGTTGGCCACCCCTGCTCTATAGAGTACAGAATATAGAATAAAATAAAAAAATTAATGTATTACAATAAATTCAGATATGAAATTAATTTATCCAAATAGGAGGGAAAAGGTTGACATGTTGAGTAGGAGGAGTTTGCCAAGTGAGTCATGGCAGAAGAGGGGTCTGAACTAAACATTAATGAACAATATTTTTCAAACTAGATTTTATTGACAGGAAAATTACAAAACAGTAGAATTAACGGTTAGATAAAATGCCACTATAATAAACAATTTTGTATTTAAATAAATAATACACTACCACTTAAAATCCAAAAAAATAAAAAAAACAACTATTAGGTATACAGAATTTTCTTTAAAAAAATGGAAAATATCTAAACATTATATTCCTAAAATATAAGTAGCAATATCACGTTATTCCGACACTGTATGTATCCAATCGTAATAAGTTGATATTCTAGAATAAACATTTGGATGCAGCTCGTTAGCGATACCACATGCATCGGTTATGAAAGAAGCTATTCCAACTTGAACTCCTTCCACTATTAGAGCTGTTCCAGAATCACCCTAAAAATAAATAAAATAAATTACAGCTTTTGGATCCAAATTTTATTTGAAATATATACTTAATCGTTAGTAAAGTTTATATGTAGGCTATAATTATGATATAGCAGTAGGCAACAGTACGATTAATGCAGAGGAATCCAAAATATATTGAATAAAGCAAATTAGATAAAGCATGTACTTGATAATCAAATGGACTTTACCATAGTATTGTAGTGATTACGCAACAAAGGTTTGGATTATATTAGTAAAAAAAAGAAAAACGGATAGAAGTGGTGAATATAAAATTCTCTTTTTAACTTTTTTATTTTAAAATTAACCTTCCCATTTATTTTCCCATGAGCCGCCACTGAAACACTGATAAAAAAACGTTTCTATTCCAAAAACAAGGAAGAAAGCAACAGAGTAAGTGAAGGGTTTAAGGTGAAACAATGACAAGCCACACATGAGTTCAAAAAGAGCTCGGTTAAAGTAATAGTGTTACTAAAAATTTATTTCAGCTCTTCGTTAATAGATGGCACGATAAACCTATGGTAACACTATTGCATATGTCTAATTTGTCTTTGTCCTAGTATCTGCTCGACATAATAACAAGCCATATCAAAATGGCGATCATGGGCGGAAGCGATTCTGATATTTCTGTGAGTTTTGACGATTCTAGCAAAAAAAATACTGAAGTTGAGTCGACGTTTGATGATGACAGTGACCGTGATCCTAACTATGTACAATGTAGAAGTGACTCAAGTGATGAAAATACAGCGGTATGTATTTTTTTGCTAAATGTGGCTTGTCAAATTATTACCATTCAAGATTTAAGTATGATTGTAGTGGCTTGTGACATGGCTTGGTATATTATTGCATTTTGTTGTAGGATAATGAATAAGGTCCGTCAAGAAAAAGGAAAAAACAAACACACCCGACAAAACTCCAACAAGTCGATGGAGATAAAGAAATGAACACTGTTGTTATTTAAGATCAAAAAATATTCGACAGATTTTAAAGCAACCATATGTAAGCAACAAAATGAAAAAAATGTGCCTGGTCGAGAATTGGGACCGCGTTGCAGTTGCATTAAGAAGTGTAGGGAAAAGTTTCAGGGACACGAGAAAAATATTTTTAACAAGTTTTGTAAGCTTGGTTTATGGGAGTTGCAAAATAGCTACTTATTCGGATGCATAGATATTTTTAAGAAGAAAAGGTTACACTGAAAGAAGCAAAAACAGCAAGAATCTCTTAGAAAGAGCAATGCAGTCTACTCCATTAATATTAATAATGAAACTTAACGTGTTTATAAAACAAATTTTTTAAATATCAATGGACTTCAAGCTTCTAAGAGTAGAGTAAATAATATTGTTCGCGAGAAGATAGAAGGAAATCTAGTGCCAGAAAGAGACAACGGGGGAAAGCATACAAACCGTGTGAACAAAATATCTGATTCTGAAATACTAAATATTAAAAACCACATACATTCGATTCCAAAGTATCAAAGTCACTACAGTCGACAAGAGAACATGAATAAAGTTTACCTAGACCATAACATGAGTATAGCCAGTCTCTATCTGGATTAATATGTCCTTTGGTGTAAAGAAGCGGGAATTGAACCAGTTAGGGAGCATAATTACCCTAAGATATTCTGTACCGAGTATAATATTGGATTCAAGTTGCCAAAATCAGACACTTACAAGACATGCCACGAAATTAATATCCAAATAGAGTCAACAAAATAAAAAAAAAAGATTGTAGTGAATCTTAAGACTTAACTAGCACAAGTGTAAGGCTCAGGCAATGCAACAATTACTGAAGGGCGAAACACCCTGGTAAAAAATTGGTAAGTAGACATATATTATATCGTTTGACTTGCAGCAAGCGTTACCGATTCCCAAATTAATCACTGGTCCTGCATTTTATTGCAGAAAAATATGAATTTTTTATCTAGGAATCCATGATTGTACGGAAGTCGCTAGTCATATGTGTGTCTGGATGAAAAACGTTGCAAAAAGAGGAAGAGATGAAATTGTATCAATACTCATTAAATTTCTGAGCTTAAAGATAGGTGAAGTAGAACATCTAGTTTTCTTCACGGATAATTGTCCTGAGCAAAACAAAAACTGGCTTTTAATGTCTTTATAGTTCCAGCTAGTGAAGGAACAAAAGTTTAAGACTATTACACACCATTTTTAGTCAGCGAACACGCTCACCTTCCTTCTGACAGGGATTTTGCTGTTATAGAAAAGACATAAAAAGTATGCTTCGCTTGTGTACTCTCTCCTGACACAAACTAAAATCCAACAATTGTTAGCAAACCGCTTTCAGAGAATCGATAAGTGTGGCATGGGTGATGCAATAAAACACAAGTAGTAGCCAAGCTATTTTGAAAAACGAGCCGGAGAGTCATCCCAACCATCAACCAACTCGGTTTCCAAACCGCCAGGCGGCTTGCACCGCTCGGTCTATCACTATCCATTCACTGAACAATGACTGAACATTACAAACTCCCGATTCCATTTTACTTTCGGTCTTCGGTCAAAACCGCCGCGTGTGTCACGGCATGAGTCATGACATACTTCCATTAGGCAGTATGTATCTACTATATTTTTGGCTGTTGCTAATTACTATTTTATGCAATTATGATTCAAGTGCTAGGACTATATTGTAGGATAATAAAAAATGTAATGAACAGTAAAACTTACATTGCATGCTCCTCCAGCTAGCGCTCCAAAACAAATATGGTGATCATTATTATACTTTCTACCGCAAGTGTTATCATCGTATATTTCTACATTGAGCTTTTGCAAATTTTTTGATAAGGGGCCATCTTGCTAAAAAATGATATACAATGTTAGAGAACACGTGCTATTGTTTCCTTAAATGGACAAGGAAGCAAAGAGGCGATATTTCAATTAAGGTACCCAAAAAAAGTAAATAAGGCAATGACGATACCTAATTATATTAAAATATAACAAGAAGAAGACGCATCGTGCTTTTAATAACAAATATAGAATAAAAGAAAACTTACATAAAGTCTTCCCATCCAATTATAGTTCCCTTTTGTTTCTTCGTTGTTGAAAAATCTTTAGAAATGGTTACTGGTTTCCATTTTCCAGAAGGTATTGGAGTCTCTAGCTAAAAATTTAAATAGGTTATAATTTTTTTTTTAAATTCGTTAGAGCTTGTGCTCTAACTAATTTGAAGAAAATCGTGTGCAATTATGGCATCCAGAATTTGACCTTACTAAAGATAGGCCAAAAAAGCCAATGCAAAGGAGTGCAATGAACATCGCACCATAGCCTTAATGAGTCATGTCTTGAAATTGTTTTTAAAAGTAATTCACAATAAAATACATAAGAAATTAGATGAAGCCATAAGTAATAGACAAATGGAATTTAGGAAAGGACTGGGAACACGAGATGCACTGTTTGCATTAAGTGTTCTTTCGCAGAAATGCTTAGATATTAATCAGGAAGTATATGGCTGTTTCATTGATTTTGAGAAGGCATTTGACAGAGTGCAGCATAATCGACTTAAAGAAATTTTATTAAATAAAAACATAGACAGTAGAGACATTAGAATCATCTGTAACCTCTATTGGAATCAAACAGCAAAAGTGAAAGTTGAAAACGAACTGACCAAGGATATCCAGATTCGCCGTGGGGTCCGCCAAGGGTGTATTCTATCACCCTTGTCATTCAATTTATACAGTGAAGCCATCTCAGAATTAGCGCTTGCCGAGATCAGTGAGGGCCTTATAATAAACGGTGAGCCACTTAATAACATAAGATATGCTGACGAGACCGTCCTTCTGGCAGGAACACTAGAAGAACTGCAACACCTTGCTGAACAACTAAATATATATTGCAACGATTATGGACTAAAAATCAATTTGAAGAAAACCAAGTTCATGGTATTTACAAAAGCACAAAACATCAAAGTTAAGCTAGTACTAGATAATACAGAAATTGAACAAATATCTTCGTACAAATACCTTGGAGCATGGATCACAGAAGATACTGATCAGACAAAAGAAATAAGATGATAAGCCGCATTGAAATTGCACGGTCAACTTTTAATAGAATGAGAAAACTTTTTTGTAATCGCGATATCAATATATCGCTCCGGATAAGAATGCTTCGATGTTATATTTTCTCTACCCTTTTGTATGGAGTTGAAGCTTGGACACTTAAAAAATCCAACATTAAAAACCTAGAAGCATTTGAAATGTGGTGTTACCGACGTATTTTGAAAATATCATGGATGGATCGCAAAACAAACGAACAAGTTCTCGAACAACTAGGAAAACAACGCGAAGTTTTAAATTCCATAAAAATCAGGAAACTGGAATACTTGGGGCACATAATGAGAGGTGAAAAGTACGAACTACTAAGGAATATAATGCAGGGTAAAATCAAAGGTAGAAGAAGCGTAGGAAGACGTAAAATCTCGTGGCTACGCAATCTCCGTGAACGATTTGGATGCAGTTCAATTGAACTATTCAGGCGAAAAACCAATAAAATTATAATTGCCAGAATGATTTCCAATCTCCGATAGGAGTGGAACTTGAAGAAGAAGAAGATAGGCCACTAAAAAATCTGGATTAGAAGATTGTCAGAAGTATGCTTGAAGTGATCTTCCGAGAAACCAGCGTACAAATTACTGTGTGTTGCATTAACCCGAAGAAATCGTGTCCTTCAAAAACAGTATACTGTTATTTCTTTCGGAGGGGTTTATGTAGAGCTGGAGAGTCCTGTAGATTCCGCCATTCTGGGCCTTCATGTAAAGATGCTAGTCGGGACGCTCAGATCTAAGAGAGGAGCAGTGTAACGAACATGCTTATTTCGATGTAGCCCATATAACTGTTGCATCTCGAGACAATGATCTGGGTTCGGGAATGTTCCGGATATATTGACCGGGTGAGAGATCGAGACGTCAAATACAAGCGAAAATAGAGGTGAATTATTCCAGATTATTCTAATACATAATAACTTGCATATATAAGCAGCGCTGATATTAGCTTAGTTTAGTTGATAAATTTTTTTTTATTGAGTTAATGCCTCGACAACTATGATCATTGGCATGGTACAGTCAGGTACCTAGTGTAGTGTGTGTATGTATGTGTAGAGTAATTGTCTTGATACTTAGCAAAGTCGACGTCATTGTCTTTGTTAAGAGACGCTAATTGTATCCGAACGTCTGCGGTCTCTCCGGTGAGTACCGATAAAATATTATCGTGCTGTAAACTTGTAAATCAATATATTTATATAAATTAGAACTCGTTTTAATTAAACACACTGCAATAGTGTATGTCGAGAAAATAAGACAATTTTGATAATTTCAACAGGTAGAGAGAGAAATAAAGAAAATATATTAACTTACTTCTAGTACTGCCGAATCAAATATAAGCTTCTCGGAACTAAACTGATGACAGTTGATTTTTTTAACTGGTACAGTATTTACAGGTTCTTTTGTAATAGTCAATAGGTCGTACTGAATGGAATATAAGGAGCTGTTTTTAGGCCTATAAAAAATGTTTATTGTTAAACTGTTTAAATATGAATTAATTAATATGATTACTTACTCTTGGTCGCTACAAACACAATGGGCAGCCGTTAAAACATATTTTTCGTTAAGGATGGTTGCTCCGCAGGTGTGACTTCCTTGTCTTCGTAAAGAAACCTACATAATTGATAACATTAAGTAAAGGAGAGGATAAGTATGTTTAGAGAATGACAATAAGAAGTGAAATTTGTTTTATTCCGTTCATTGCTGCTTTACTTTTTAAAAATCGCCAATTTTGGCATTAGGAAAAAAACCAATTTTACTAGTTCTTAAACTCGTGGTTGAATCTTATCACATACCATTGTCGTGGATGAGTTCGAATATCCTTCTCAATGTGTTTCACTTAAAAGTAGTAACAAGATTTATTATTTTTTCTGTCATGATCATCGAGTTAGAATCTATGGAGAGGGCATCACGTGCCTAAAACGACCTAACTTCGGCCATATTGGTATTATTGTTTTGAAACTTTTGACAGATCGTATATGTTTGGTTATATTTGTTGTTTTTCGAATATTTTCAGTTTTATAATACTTTTATAGAAACTGTAATATATTGTGATAGTGCATAATAATGGTTTCTTGTTCTCAACGTAGTTGCAGTAGCAGAAGTAATGTTGGTGTAAATGTTCGGCGGTATTTAGATGAGATCATGGACGATGAGATATTTCCCGGACGATAAATTGGTAGACAAGGTAGAATTGAATGGCCTCCACGTTCACCCGATCTCAATCCTAAAGATTATTTTTATTAGGGATACTTGAAAAATTTAGTCTACAAAACTTAACCAGCAAGTCTTGCAGAGCTAAGGCAACGAATTATCAATGAATCTCGAATAATTTCTAGACAATCATGGAGAAATGTTGTAGACGCCTTCTACCATCGATTAGGGTGCTGTCAACTCACAAATTGAGCACATATTGAACACTTAATAACGTAACTACTATGTTAAAAAATGTTGTAAACTATCAATTGTTACGTTTTAATGTATTTGAAAATAGTTACTATTAAAAAGTTTATTGAAACAATTTAGGCGTTGCCAGACTTCGGTTTTATGTATTTATGACCTTCCAGATTACATAAAATCATAAGTGTTATATATGGTTGCACTCGTATTGAATAGGATATTCCAATAATGACTGAATATACAGGGTGATGTATTTGAAAAACCAAAGTTACTAATAATAAAAGAAAAACGGCAAATCTGGAAACATTGTAAATATCAAATATGGAATCTCCGTATCCCAAAATAGGTGTACCTCAAATTTTGTACAATTATGATTAGCATTTTACGAGATAATTAGCCGTTTCCAGACTTTTGGGCCACTCTGTATGTCGGATTGGATATTGGCCAAGATATACGTCTACGTCCAGGGCTTCTCTTGTCCTGAATTTTGCCTTGTAGAATCAACTGTAGAAGTTGGTATTTACTATTAGGTATAATGTGGCTAAAGTAAGTCAATTTTCGGTTCTTTACGGTGTTAATAATTTATTTGTCTTTTCTTAGCCTCTGGAGAATAGTTATGTTAGTTGTGTGGTGTATATATGAGACATTTAATGTACGTCGGTAGCACCCTACTTTGAATGCCAATAGTTTATGGCATCTTCTGTGAGACTCCAGCTTTCTACTCCGTGACGGAGGACACTAAACACACAATATCTAAGAATTCTTAGCCACCTTTTTCTCTGGGTGATGTGAGATTTATTATTTTGTCTTAATCTTTAGACATTTCTAGTTCTCTTTCTTCGATAAAGTCTCTGTCTTCGTCTTAGTCATAATTTACTCTCTCTAAGGTGTAGAGGGTTTCTCATTATATTTTGACCCCCACTTGTTTTCCTTAATTTCGGGAATACAAAAAAAAGTTTTAAATAAAAGTTGTATCATTTTATCTGTACCGACCAACAGTGTAGCAATAGACCAAATTTTGTATACAGGGAATGCCCAATAAAATCAATCTTCAATATTTCAAATGGGACACCCTGTATTTTTTTATAGTTTTGAGTAGCCCTGCATTTCCTGATTACAAATATATAACATAGTGTAGCATTAGTTTTGTTCTATAATGGCGTATGGTACTACTATACTATACTAAGATAAGAAAAAAATATATTTAGATATAATAGTCAACAAAATATATGACTTACAATACTACATTTAAGATTACAATAGATGCTCAAAGTGCTCTCCATTGTTATCAATGCACAAGTAATATGTTCGTCTCAAATTTTCTAATGCGTCGGATATTGTGATATTATGACCATTTAAATTTCCTTTTTCTGCGCGAAGTTTTGCCGTGATAGTGTTAATATTTTTATTTGAATCAAAATACACTTTTTCCTTTAAAAGCCCCCATATAAAAAGCTATCACATGGTGTTAAGTCGGGACTATTTGCTGGCCAGGTAATGGTACCCTTATTGCCGATTCACACATTAAATTGATTATTTAAATTATTCTTGAACAGTTACGACATTATATGGCGGTGCTCCATCTTGTTGCCAATCACACTATTTAATTGATGTTGTGTATAATTTTGATTTAGTAACTCATCCACTTCTGTAATGACTGTGTCCAAATATGATTCCTCAGTTAATTTATAATCATAAAACAATGCTCCAACTGTTTTGTTTTGAAATATTCCGCACCACACATTTATTGATTTTCTTCCTGACTTTTTTATTTTGCTTAATTTTTCTTTTTCTATTATTTTTCTGTTTCCACAAATACCTATTTCTTCTATTAAAAATGTCTGAAGTTGAAAAATTTGATTTATCTGTCCATAAAATGTTATATAAATAATTAGGATAATTGTTCAAATTTGTAAGCATGTCTTGACAGAACTGTAAACCCTTTCTCTTATGCACATCGGTAAGTTCTTGTACCGGTAAGATTTTGTACGGCTTTGTAGTTGTGCTTTTTTAAAACTCTATGTATCGTCTCACGGCTTTTCTCTAATGCATTAGTAGGATTGTTTAGACTAGTTTCGGAATTTTCTAAAATAAAAATGATATTATGGATTTAATCTATTATTTAAGTATTTAATTTTTACCTTCAAAGTAAATCAACGTATTAAGATCTTCATCATCATTTCCTACGATAGTACGTTTCTTCCGTTTAAACATTTTTTTTTTTTATGACATGACGATAATTATATAACAATATATTTGCAGAAGAAGTCTGTCGATCTGGATAAATCAGCCTATATTCTCTTCTTGCCGCTTGCTTTTTTCGGTATGAGGACTGACAGTTTATAATAAATTAATAATTAGTTCATTTTGAAATGTCAGTTGCATAGCCACCTGTGGTTACCCTTTTGTAGTACCATATGCCGTTATAGAACAAAACTAATGCTACACAATGTTATATATTGGTAATCAGGAAATACAGGGCTACTTAAAACTTTAAAAAAGTACAGGATGTCCTATTTGAAATATTGAAGATGCATTTTATTGGGCACTCTCTGTATACAAAATTTGATCTGTTGCTACATTGTTGTTCGCTACAGATAAAATAATACAACTTTTATTTAAAACTTTTTTTGTATTCCTGAAATTAAGGAAAATAACTGGGGGTCAAATATAATGAGAAACCTGGTACATATGTTTATAGATCACCACGTCGCGTCGGCTTTCTCTTCCTCAGAGTAGCCGACTCCAATTTTTCCATGTGACGGAGAAATGAGTTTTCTATATTTCCTAATGTTCTTTGGAGCCTCCATATTTCTTGCATATTTTGGCACCATTCCTCCATTTCTTTCACATAATCGTCCCACTTTCTGCTTCTATGTTCTAGTAGTATCTATTTGACTTGTCGGTTCAGTATGTTTGACTCATTTTATCTTTCTAATATTTTGTTCGTCTGGCTTTTTTAAAAACCATAAAAAATTTTCACCTACGAGAAATATTTTAAATTTCTCTAATAAAAGTCTTAAACAAATTCAATCATGAAATGATTTATTGTTGAAGGAATAATAAAAATAAAATTAATCTTAAAATAGCTTCCTCTATCATCTCTTTAGTGTACTTATACGGTAATACAAAACTTCCATTAACTATATTAACTAAGTTACTTACAGCATATGGAAACTCTCCTTCTTCAGCATCAGATCCGTTCACAACTCGACTATTAGCTGAAATATATTTGTGTTTACTTCAATTTAATCCAGAATACAAAGCTTAAATTATGCGTTATATATTAATAATTTTATTATAATAGATAGTATTTAAACATATGTAATCTATATATACTGGATGGCCAAAGTTATAATTTGCATAATATATTTCGCTTATTTCAAAAGATAAAATAATAAATTAAAAACTGTTTTAATTGACATTTATCCGTTTTACTTTCATGCCCTTCCAAAACTAACCCAAGGTTTTTTTCTACGCCAGCTATATTATCTATATGTATATTAATAAATTGTCACTTTAATTTTAACACAGCAACTGAGCATAATAGCAAATCAAGTATACAAACATAGCTTGTAAATGACCACAACATATCCGAAGGTGGATGTAAACTCTGATTCCAATTTATTGGTAGCCGAATGGAAGAATCAGAAAACAAAACATAATTTCTTATGATGGAAAAAATTCGCTTAAGAGATGGTTATACTTAGTAAAGTTTTAGTTATTGTAAAAATAGCTCAGCAGTTGAAGAAACAATAGATATAATAGTTATAGTCACGAAAATTTTAGAGAAAAAGAAAAGAAACACTGGACAGCAAATGATGCAAGAATTCAACGAAACAATAATAAAATTTAAGAGAAAATACCTAAAGAGAAATAATTGTAGGTAATAAATAAATTAAGTTAACATACATATATGTTGATGTTAAAGTTGAAGTTTCAATGCAGTCATTCGAAGTTGGAAAACCTAGTCCAGATGAAGTGCAGTGAGAAATCTCAATGTATTCGATGGAGATTTCAAGAAAGAATTAACTATTATATTCAATGAGATATACGACGGTATCCTATATAAAGTATGTGCCTCCTAGTGGCGGAATATGGGCAACAATATATTGGCGTAAAGGTCAGTGCTTATAGTAGGGATTATGACCCCTACTGAAAAATGTAAGCGGGTGTGGGGTAAGACCGCAATTTGGTTGCATTGTTGGTGCAGAAGGTGCTGATAGAAAAGGCATACATACATAAAATGTCCAAGAATGTAGAAGACCTTCTCCAATGTATCAAAATTATTCTGAAATAATATGCTGAAGTAAAATATTTCGGAAGCAAACGTCGCCTCATATTGTAGTTCATACTGAAAACATATTTAAGGAGTAAGGACTACATTGCAACTTACCAGTAGCTGAAGTTAATATTGAACACACAAAAACGATTATAGACAACATATTAACTTTAAAACTGTAAAACTTCAAATATACGGTTGACTAAAGTTTTGAACATCCTTATATATTACGTTTCGAACGATTTTAGAATTTAAATCGTCCCATCCATATCATCAACCCTGTTTTTAATTCTATAAAACAAGATATAAATTTAAATTTGTTAGATATGTTAGCCCAATTTTTAAGTTTGATTACTTTTTACGATTCAGGAATACAAAGTACATAAAACTTTTGAATACAATTATGGTACACTTTCACAAACTTTTTTTTAAATATCTGCACTGACGTTATATTTATTTTGCCTAAATTTGAAAAAAGCAGAATACTTTTAATTATATTTGGTGTCAAATTTTAACTAACGAGTTTGTTGTTTTTTAAAACTTTATTTTAAGTTTTTCAAAAGTAAAACTAAGTTGTTGTTTCAATGCATATAATGTATTTGAATTAATCAGGTAGTAGTGCCTGATATCAGCGTTGCTTTAATATCTAGAGTAATTACATTTGCTGATTATATTTTATATAATCGAATATATTTTCCAAATATTATTTCCAGTTTCCAATGTGAAAGAGACTTTTTTTCTTGATCTCGTTCTTGTATCATTGTGATAAAGTTTCTTCGTCATTTACGTTATCTTGCCTGAAAAGTTCAGATATAGCAAATTAATGCTTGTTCCGTGGAGTCAAACGGATAGAGTGGCACGAAACCCAATTGAAACATTATTAGGTGTACCAGCTCTTGGCCAGACTTCTGAAAATATTTTTCCAAAAATTCTTTTACCCGTTGTCATAAAAATTTTGATCATCTAGACGTTCGCTAATTAGCCTTCATTTCAGATATCAGCTCTTATGTTTTCTTGAGAAATATATAAGTATTTTACGAGGTTATATTGACTATTTCTTTTATTATCGAACTATATGGAATATATCATGTGTCTCACTGTGTACTAGTAACATGTATTAATGTGTACCAGAGGTGGTACTTACTGAGACATGTGCAAGGTTGTTTTTAAAGTCACATGACTTTTTTGAATTAAGACTACAGGCCTTTATATTTGTGGAAGTGATATATAAAATACCAAAAATCATTATGGCTGAAGCTATCAGTGATTAAAAATGACTGCTTATCGATGATTAAAAATAAATATTCGAATAAACGTATTTTTTTATCTTAAAAAAAAATCATTTTTTGTTTCACAAAAAGCGTGACTGATTACACTACTTTAGCGTAGACTGATTGTTGTTTATGAACAGAAAGTCGACATCATTTCTCATCCATATTGAAGATCAAATGTGCACCTCTTTTAATTAGTTAAAATAGTTGATTACTATAAACTTATTAAGTTTGGCTGCTCTTCCAAGGTTCATGCTCAGGTTTTTAACACAATTATCCATCACTTTTACATCGAAACTTACCAGAAAATTCATGAATACCTGAAAATAATAGTTTGATGTGCGCCTAGCATGTCTGGACAAGCAACTGACACCAACATGCAACATGGCATGGCGTAATCACACTTAAACTCGATTTAAGTTTAGATTTAGTCACTAGATGCCAGTAGCGTCCAAAGACAAACATCATCTTCAGAAATATTCTTCTATATTTTTTGAGTAAAAACAATCGATGAGCCTTATTGTATCCTGTTGGTCAAAAATATTTCGCAAATTTCTTTGTTCATGACTTATTCTTCCGTTTTCGTTTCTGTATGCATTTTTAATGTACTTAATTTCTTCCTTTCAGCACATAATGTGATGTAGATATCATATTCTCGTGCTAGAGCCGCAGGACTATCAGCGATTGGAATTCTAGCCCCACGCTAGCCTATCCTCATACAGCTTCCTGCACGACGTGACTTCCACCATTATGATGGAACCATATCCAATGCATGGAAAAAATTTCAGGCAGTGAATTCGTTTGTTATTCATGCGTTGCGAACAGTAGCGCACCTAGAATTGTACTCTGGGGGGGGGGTTTGGTTGGGCATTTTTTTTATGCTACCTCCACCATTTTAAGTCCTTAAAAATAACAGTGTCGGAATAGAAACCCACCCTGGGTGTGCCACTGGTTGCGAAATATGCTCTTGCTGTGTCCATTGATTATTGAGCTCCTCGTTAATCTTGTTATGCTCCTGTGTTTCTTTGGAATCTGCTTCTATTATGGTATATTCCCGTGTATGTCTTTCATATTCATTTGTATGATGTTCTTATATTCTTTCCTTCTGTCGAATTTTTTTGTGTCCGTACGTTATACTTCTTCTTTTACCTTTACACACTTTGTTCATATGGTATACTCTTGAAGTTTCTATTCTGGCAAGTGATTCTTCATCGTTAGCAATCGCAATTACTTCTGTTAAAGTGGTAACATTTCTTACTTTTAATATTGTTCTATTTTATCGTATTTTGAGCCATTTTTAAATACACTTATTGCGTGTTTTCATTTACTTTGGCTAATATGTGTTCCGATTCTCTGTCTACATCTGTTTGTGCAATTGTCAGTTTTGCCATTAGGTCCTGTAAACTCATTTCAAATCTTTCTTTTGACCTATTTGCTTGTTTCGCTGAGTGCATCTAGGCTGATAATACAGATATTGTTTTATCGAGAACTTATCCTTAATATCGTTTATTAGCTCCACATAAGTCTTAATTTTTCAACATTTCAACAACATTCAAAACAACAAACACTTTGAGATCTATTTTGTCCAAAACCAAACCTAACAATGAACAAGAAAGGACAAAGAATTGCATTTATAAAATACCTTGTGAATGCGATCAGTTTTATTTAGGTGAAACATCAAGGCCATTAAATGTTAGAATAAGTGAACATCAATCTTATATTAAAAATAGAGAATTTGATAGATCTCAAATATGTAAACACGCATGGGATAATGAACATAGGGTTCAATGGAATAATTCAAATGTAGTCCTAAAAGAAACGGATGGTAAAAAAAGAAAAATCAAAGAAGCGGCTCTAATTATGCTAAATGAGGCCAATTGTGTCGCAAATTCCTCGGTAGAATGTAGTAGGATCTGGTTACCAATATTGAAAGAGGAAGTTATTAATAAGAAAATACCAGTATTAGTAAGTCAGTAACATATAGAGGATAAATCATTTATGTTTTTTAAATAACGAAACATATAAAATCAGAATTTTGGTGTTTATTGAAGGTAAACTAAATGCACGAACAAATACTTACCATGTCGGGATAGTATTATGAGGTTTTTTTCCTGGTTTTTTACTCATAATTTACTATGGAATCACTAACACGAGAATTTTACTGTCATCATGTCATATGTTTCAGGAGCGCAACTCAACAATACTGGCAATATCATTTTAAAGTCGTCTACTTTAAAATGCATAATGTATGTCTGAATTGTCAATATAAATGAGTCAGATAAAATTAAATTATTAGAAGAATTTTTCACTATGTAACAAAAAAACAAAATTTGTTTAATTTACTGTTTGTATTTTGAGAACGATTTCCAAAGTGGAAATTGAAACGTCAATAAACGTATTTTTATCTTTAATTGTGGCTTATTCCCAGTTAAATACTAATTAATGTAAAATGCCACAAGAAAATAGCTTCAGAACAATTTTAATTTTTCTGCTTGCGTTAGTTTAACATTTAGAACGTATTTTTATTAGCTGGATTTTTCCCTTCTAAAAATTCATCGTACATTTCAGTTGCATCTAGGAACGCTTTGGACAAATCTTCGGTAGTCTCTATGTGTGGGATAAGGTTCCCTACTGTTTTCAAATCAAATTTCTCTTCTAGTGTCGTTATGTTCTTCCTTAGGGTGTCGTTTCTTTGACGGAGGTAAAAAACTGACTATATCCCTCTACATGTTGAGTACGTTTTTCAACAGGAACTTCCATTATCTTGTCATTATCGGTCGAGTCATTTCCATCCCTAGTGCGCCTTCTTATTTGTAATTCTTCGGCGGTCTTTATGAAGGTAGTTGAATTCTCTTGGACAAATTTGTACTTCTCCTTGGTACATCAGTAACAAATCACTTAAAGCTTCATAACTCACGTCTGTTATAATTCCTATGGGGTGTTGATAGGAATTTGACTTTAAAACTTCCATAATTAAAATAAGAGCTACAAACTAAAAGAACCATTTTATGGAACTATAGACATTTTCATTGCACGGCAAATGTCACGTCCACAAAGTCTTGGTTTTCCAATAATTAGTGTATTCGTGGAAATGTGTGCCAACATAGTCGGTTCTCTTTAAAATATTTCTTTTTTCTTTCTTATTCATGTAAATTTGAAAGTTTCGTAATTTATTGTAGCTAAATAGTTGGATAAAAAGTCCGATCTGACTAATCCGTCTACAGTATTTGAAAAACTTAGGATAGTACGTTCATGTCACAATTTAATTTTTTCTTCTTCTTCTTCTTAGGGTGCCTGTCCGTTCCGAACGTTGGCGATCATTCTGGCTATGATGATTTTGTTAGTTGCTATACAAAATAGCTCATGTTAAATTAATTTTTTTACTCATGTGAAAAATTAAAATATGTTCACTTCGTTTTATATTTCGGTAAATTTAGAGAGTAGATTGCTTTGCTGTTTTAAGAATTCACGTAGTTTAGAACAATCTTTGCTATATCTTCAAAATGTTTTAACAATTCATCCATCCATTGTCTTTTTTGTTTTTTTTTTTTTTCATTTTGTTTTCACATTCTATATCTGACCATTTTTCGTCTGTTTATTTCATTATATCTTAGAACTTCTTCTGTCTATCTTCCAAATGCTCTTTTTTAAGTTTTTATGATCATTTTAAATCATCAAAAACTTAATATTTTTGTACTTATGCTGCACAATGAAAGCAATTTTTTTGTTATTGCTCTGATGTTCAACATTAAAAAATCAAGTAAAAATATTCATTTATTCAAATAGAAAGTTGAAAAAACTTTAAACCTTGTGGAGAAAACCTGCGAAGGAACTGAAGAAGTGGATATATTTCGTGATAGGTATTCCTATTAAATTTGGATCTTCATTGTTTATCACAGCCAATGACGAATAGATATTGAATGTCCAACGGCCTCTCCGTGAAAAAAAAACATAGTATTTGACACATTTTATTAGGAAAAAATTTAAAACATTTTTTAATAATGAATTTACAAATACATAAACAAATCTCTTACATAATCTGATAAATAAAACAATACTTTATATGACATCCAATGTAAAAAACTTTTATTTTAATTAAAGAAAGATAATAATATAGTAAGGATATATTTATTAAAACATTATCTCTTATAACCTATAAGCATTATGCTGTGTACTTGTACTAATTCTATTCTGCATCGTGGTATTGGACCCTAAAAAGAAAAATATTTTGAATATGGAAAGATTCTGAGTAAAAATTTCTTGTTATGTTATAATAATATAGTCAGGATATATTTATTAAAACATTATCTCTTATAACCTATAAGGATTATGTTATGTATTTGTACTAATTCTATTCTCCATCGTGGTATTGAACCCTAAAAAGAAAAATATTTTGAATATGAAAAAATTCTGAGTAAAAATGTTATAGGAATAAAATCAATATCACAGCGTTAATTGTCAGATTTACCTAATTTGGTGATAACAATGTTAAATACTCTGGATTTTTTTATTTAGAAGTTTATAAAAACAATGTATAAAAATTAACGAAGTAATTTTCACGCAATGATTTCAAAGAAGCCTTTTATAAGTCAGTACCCAAAAAACAATCGAGGAATGTATTAAGAATAACAAACAGGCATCGTACTTTCTTTACTTCGGAGCTTATATTGAATAATTGATGGATTCGACCGTTACTTGGTGGAAATTCATTTTATGTAACAATAAAACACTGAAAACTTTGTTTTCAAACTTCCACAAAATTTATTTTAAATATTATCACTACAGCTGTTTCGGCTGATTGCCTTTCTCAAGTGATCTATTTTGGCTTGGGTTTACAAATTTATAGTATCTAATGAAATAGGTTGAGGAGGGGAGAACTGTTTGTCTCAAGTTGGTCATTCAGAATTATATCTGTTTTTTAATTTGTTGATTTCCATAGATTCTAACAAGGATAGCTTAAGGCCTTTATTTTGAATGTGAAGAATTTTAAATTTGTCATTAAAAGAATGATTATGATCTAGAAGGTGAAGTGCGTATGTCGAATCTGTTTTTCTATTCTTGAAAGCCCTTTTATGTTCTGCTATTCGTTTATCAAAGTTTCTACCAGTTTGACCGATGTAAGTTTTTGGGCAGTCGCCACATTGAATTTTGTACACACCACTATTTAAGTGTTTTTTATTTTGGCTCTTGTTATTTTTAATATATTTGCCTAGGTTGTTATTTGTTCGGAAAGCTGGTGTTATTCCTTTCTTTTTTATGTGTTTGGCAATTTTTGTTGTTAGTTTGCCTGTATATGTAATCGAGCAGAAGGTACTGGGTTTTTTGTCTGGTGGTGGAAATACTAATTTCAGGGCTTTCTTGTGTAGTTTTTGATTTAACATTTTATTAATTGTTTGTTCGTTGTATCCGTTGTTTACTGCTATTTGTTTAATTATATTTAATTCTGTCTCAAAGTTGTATTTTGACATCGGAATTTCTGTTAATCTATGTAACATACTATGATAAGCTGCCAGTTTATGTTGTGTTGGATGGGATGACGAATTGTGTATAGTCGTGTCAGTATGGGTAGGTTTATGAAATTTGGAGAAGTCATGTTTGTTTTGAAGTCTGCTAATTTTTAAATCTAAAAAATTTATGGGTTGATTTTGTTCTGTTTCTATTGTAAATTCAATATGACTATGAAGTGAATTAATATATGATAAAAATTCTCCAAAGCATTAAAAGACTAAAACCAAAAAAAGCCACAGGTAAGGATAATATACCAGCATACATTTTTAAAGGTTGTGCAGAGAATCTTTTTGTCCCTGTCATACTAATTTTTAATTTGTCCCTTAAACAAAGCAAATTTCCAGATAGCTTAAAGCGTGCAGTTATAACACCTATATTTAAATCTGGTAATGCTGGTAATGTTGAGAACTATAGGCCTATATATGTCATGAATTAAATTGCTAAGATATTCGAGAATGTGCTTTATAACAATATTTTTAATTACTTTGGAGATGGATTCTGTCCAGAACAACATGATTTTTTACCAGGGATGTCCACTGTGTCAAATTTATGCGTTTTTACAAGTTTTGCAGCAGGGGCCATAAATAATAAAACTCAGCTGTGTGTCATTTTTACCGGACTGTACCACAGCTTTTGATACAATTGATCACTCTATACTTATTGAAAAGCTAAGCAAATTTGATTTTGATTCAGAAGCATGTATGTTTATGAGGTCATATCTTTCTGATAGGTTAAATCAAGTTAAAGTGGGGAACAGTTTATCTAAGCCATTTATGTCGAAATTGGGTGTATTACAAGGTAGCAACTTGGATCCTCTTCTGTTCGCTATATTTATTAACAATTTTCCTGACTATGTGAAGTTTTCGACAAGCCTGCTATTTGCAGATGATTTTAAGATTTTGCAACACTGTGATATGCTGCAATGTGATTTGAACTCAGTAAGTAAATGGTTCGATAATAACAAAATGTTTCTAAACACTTCTAAATGTCATATTTTTACTATCACTCGACAACACAATACATGGAGAACCAATATAAAATTTCTAGCACTGTACTTGGAAGAAAGAACACTTGCAAAGAGCTTGGAGTAATGTTTCAGCAAAATTTGAGATTAAATGAACATTATCCGGTCATCGTTGGAAAGATATACAGAACTCTTGGCTTCATAATTCGCAATTCAAAATTTTTTAAAAGATTTGAAACTAATATCATTATACAATGCTCTGGTAAGACTTCACTTGGAGTGTACCTCTATTGTTTTAAAGTTCAGCGACTGGATAATAGAAGAAATTTTTATTCAGCCCTTTTTATTTATTATGTTGTAAATCCTATTAAATATAAAGATTGCTTTTTTATAAATAATATTAAATTCAATGTTCCAAAAATTCATCTAAGAATTAATAACAAACGACTATTCTCAACTAATAAGACTGATTGTTCACCCATAAATAAGATCTTAGAAGAATGTAACCATGTGATAATTAACTGTGATAAAGACTTTTAAATTCTTCTGTGAAACAAATAAAAGTGGGTTTTGAAACAAATTTCTAGTCTGCAAAAGTTGTCTTAAAATTTAATTTATATGTATAGTGTTTTTTACTTGTTTTATTCTGTCTAGGTTTAATTTTTAATATAGTTATTAGTTTTTAGCAGTAGTAAGCACTCTTTTAATGTAATAGCAATCATTTTTTTTTTAATTAGGTTAGATAAATAAATAAATAAATAAACACAGTATCAATGAACCTCGCAACTACCAATTTTCTCTCCAATAGTAAGCAGAGTGATTCCCCCAATTTAAAAAAAAAAACGACAGAAAATTGTAACTGTGTCTGTGATTTTCATCCAGCTGCGCCTTTTCTGCGATTTATTTATTATTGCAATCACTTCACGCACAAAAAATTAATAATTAAAACATTTAGTTGTATTTTATTGTATTGTACTAATGTATAAATTTTATATCCATTTTGTATCATTTTGTATAATGATTTTTAAGGAAATCTGGCAACTACGTGCCGTAGCTCTGTTACATCATGGCCTGACGCTGGGGCATCGTTTCTGTACAACGTAATAGATACAACAGACATACAGACACGTCATAATATTGTGCTAATAAACTGTATTAGCATTAAAACAGTAAGTTGTGTGTGTTGGCTTGGTGTTGTATCAACAATCGAAAACTTAAGGTGTTGGCCTTGAATATGTAGTTAAGGAACGATATAACAATTGATAATTAATCAAAATTAAGTGATTATAAAACCACAATTATTGTTTGTTTTATCGCATGTGTAAATATTATTGTATTAGCTGATGACGAGAACAAAGCAAAATTATACAAGTATAAAAAGCTTGTGTCTTAAATAATGTCAATATATTAAAGGAATTTTTATACCTTTCTTTCCCGCTCATTCTTCTACTAAGGCGGCGAGATGAGTCTGGTGTATTGTAAGTTAAACGATGCACACGTTTTCTATTTACTCTAAGTTCGCGGTCATCAAGACTTTTAGCTTTTTCGACCTTTTGCATAAATTTCTCAATTAAATCTTTACAATTCATATTCTCTTCTGGTTCCCAGGAATTGTCTTTTGGCTGAAATCCCTTCCAGGATACAAGAAACTCTCTCTTGCCATTTCTGGTATGGTGCACTTCCAAAATTCGATTAACCTAGAATTAGATTGGAATTAATACCATTGATAGTATAAATAAAATAACTAAGAATTAATATACCTCAAAGTCTTCATTTTCGTCCCACTCTTCACTATCTTTTTTGACTTTATCTTTAGCACCCTTAGTCTTTTTCTTTGAATCCTTAAATGCTTTTATGGCGCCTGGACAATTTAAAGTGTCTTCAGGTTCCCATGTATCATCATCTTGACCATAGCCTTTCCAGCGAATCAGATAATGGCGAACACCAGCGATCATTTTATCGTCGATAACTTTCTCCACCTAAAAAATCAAATGTTCAAAAATAAACTCTAAACATTGAGATTTTATACATTAAACAAAGCAATAAAAATAACGTAAACAATTAAACATAGTACACCATTGCTGGGACTGCAAAACCTCGTATTTGTACTTTCCATTAAAATTTATTCTTTTAAACCGCATAAAGCTATAATCCTGCAAGAATATGGCATCATTCTTAATCTTGTATTGCAACTATTCAACAGTCAGGAACATAACCTCCTATTTGACTCAGTCTCCAACTGGAAGATACATGTTTAGCTAAAATTTTTAGATATTATGCAAAAGCTGCCTTCCCACTACCGTCTGTCATCAACATAGAGCCTTTACCTAGAACCAGTGTTGCAAAGTAAACAGGATATTTATGAAGAGTATCTGTAATAATGTAATTATTAGGAATCATTAGGATCCATAGGAACCACACAATTGGGAATATTGAGAACGTCACCAACAGCCTAAATCTTATCAGAAAGGGATTGGACTAATCGGTGGTCCACACCAAACACGATGCTCCCCAATGGCTGATAGGGTGAGCGATTCCAGCGGGAGAGGACAATGCGCTCTGGGAGTTTGAGGAATTGTCTCGAACGCAGAGCTCACATGCATGCACAATATGCACACCTACTGGATAGGTACTATATAAGCGGCAAAATGGCATCAAATAGGTACCCGCGGCTAAAGTCGACATAGAATGACGGATGCGGGGTCGTTTCATACAAGGTTTTCCTCTATCTAGATGAACCAGTTTTCAGAAACTCCATAAAATATACCTCCCCTCTCCTATCTGATTGTACCACCACCGCTTGCGAAAATATAATTAGAAGACTCTCTGGCATTCGCCGCCACATCTCATGGAGTCTAGAATTCTCTGGAATTATATAGTGTCTTTAATGTGGATGCCGGATCATGAAATGGGGCATGGGATTGACATCAGATCTGTTGGCAAAACAAGGCTCGATAGAAACCTTTGTAGGCTCAAAACCATTATGCGGCATCACTAAAGATTCGACAAAAAACGAGGTTGAGAAGTAGCTGATAAGGAATCATTAAAAGAAATGCGAGAGCCACCTAAGGGCAAATCCAGACTAAAAAATAATCAAGAATATTGACATTGTTTAAAAAACAATAATTGTCACCACTAGATGTCACCACTCTTTCTGTATCAATAGATTATATATACGAATATTTGTTTGATCCACGTTATACTAGATGGTGCTATGTGAAAGTGTTATAGACTAAAGTGAACGTTTATTTTTGTTCTCCTGAATTCAATTAACCAGCGTCGCAATGTTTCACAGACATAGTGGCAACAGGTTCAGTTAGTTGCAGCACAATGTTAAATCCTATAACAGAATAAAATCTTGTGCATATATTGACAATCTGTTAAAAGCCTAAATTAAATATTAAACATAAATCATATATTTTTGTAACCTTTTGTAAACCTTACACTTTTGGTAGTGTTATTACTATCAAGGAAATCGTAATGTCGTGTATAGAAATAGTACTTAACACGTTGCCTGCCATAGAGGAATTTGTAATACTTTCCATTCACACCAAGGCCATTTCTGCTATATGGTCGAAAAAATTACCACTCACCTTTATATAGCCTGTAATGATTCAGGTTTAAAATTTTTCAAAATTCCTTTTCTTACAAAAAAAAATTAAGAAAATATTATATGTGCCGTCCAATGTAACGTCTCGGTCACATTGACCGAGACGGCACCACGGTCACTTGAAATTCTCGGTCAAATAGACCTCGCTGGCGTGCAGGATAATTTTTTTCTCGGTCAAATAGACTGAGACGGAAGGCAACGTGTTAACCATACTGTGATTTTATATCTAAAAAGCTCTGACCCGAGGTAAGTAAAACATTTTAATTCTATTTTTTTGAAAACATAAGAAAAACATTTGTCTAAGAAAAAAAATCTAAATTAGTTTTTCAGAAATGAATTTTATCGGATAATACAATTTAAATAAAAATTTTACTTATGAATGAAAAGTGATTTATGTGTTAATGTGTCTTAATTAGTAAGACCATGAATCACTTGAATTAGTCATTCAAAATAGTGTTACTACTTTTATCAAGGAATTGGTATGATAAAAATAGAAATAGTACTTAATCATACTGTGATTTTATTTCTAAATAAGTTAAAAGAATTTCAATTTTTTATTTTATTTGGTCTCTTAAACAGACAGACAACAAGGGTGTGTGTATGTAAAATAAAATAAATAAATAAAATAGTACTATTTATTGAAATTTTGTTAATTATTGATCTTTTTTACCCAACGCATAGATTTGTCCCCGATATGTGTTGCCTTTTGTTGTGGCATATCTGTTTATCTCTTTCAAAAATATTCTCAAAAAACCATACCCTCAAATTAACTACATTTCCAAACGCCATTTTAAAGATTAAAAACTTGAAAATTTAATTTTCCCAAAACATACATAAAACCATTGTTTAAAAAATATTTTCTTTTTTAAGTGCATGAGGCGCTTATTCTTGCTCGACAACTTTTAAAACTTCTTGCTAAACCACTTATTTTAAGGCGTATCAAGAATCAAAATGTGTGTTCCGTATTCCGAAAACAACTCTGATTATGATGGAAATGTGTGTTGGAAGAGAAAGGAATGCAAGGTTAGAAATTCTCATTATTTAAAAAGATATTGTTCTGAAGCTATTTTCTGGTGGCATCTTAAAATAGTTACTATTTTAATCGAGAATAAGCCACAATTTAATTTTAAAAAAGTTTGACATTTTAATTTCCACTTCGGAAATCGTTCTCAAACTACAAAACTTAATTTATTGTTATGATAAATATGACTCATCAAAATGTAAACATTTTATTATTCTAACCAGTATTTATATATATATATATATATATTATATATATATATATATATATATATATATATATATATATATTTTAACCAGTATGTATAAAAACTTGTCTGCCCTCGATGGGATTCGAGAGAGTTCAGAAAGGTCATCGTCCGCTTCGAGGGGACTCCGGAATAGCGGCTGTTTTGTATATTGGGACCGTGCAAGTTCGGAACAGCGACACCTGGTGTCGTAAATCAGCAAAATTTACTACGATTTCATGTTAGATCGAGGTTACCGGATAACTGTCATGGACGTAGCCCCAAAAAAGAATAAGAAGAAAAAGTAAGATTGAGGTTATGTCGGTATGTTATTAAAAGGTAAACGTTGTATGTAGTGTAAATACAAATAAATATATTATTAAATTACAGCATTACTGTTAATATGGATGCAATAATAAAAACTGGATTTGAGAAAGTAAATCACCAAATAACTTTTCAAACAAGCACTGAGTCAAATGGAAAAGCTTTAGTAGTGGCAAATGTCAAAAAAGAGTGGAAAAATTATGTGGAAGAATTAAGAAAAATAAATTACCATAAATAATGCTAATGCATAAATGCATAAATTAGCAGGTTAAGCCCATGATATCATCATATTGGTTTGAACAATTAATTCTTTCTCTGTAAACTTTTGGACAGCGAATATATCTTAATGCATCTTCAGAAAAACTTGAACTTGATGCATTTTTGTAAACTTCAAAAATTTAAACATTAAACTTGATTTTTTGGTTAAAATGAACTCTAAGTGAGTGTTATTAAACTAAAATTTACACTTAAAAGTGAACTTTTATTTATTATTTATTTCAAACTGACTTTAAAAGCGGGCGCAAGAATAATGCATAATTTAGGTTATGTTACTTATGCTTTTTTATGATATAAATCCACTTTTCTCTTTGTAGTAATTTGTGCTTCGAAGTTGGAAACGAATAAAACTTAAATTGACAATTTTTTGTTGTATTTTTACAATTTATAACACAGCATTTCCTAAATCCCATTTTCTTCAGTGACAGAAGGTGTAAATAAACAAACGAATATGAAATATGACAACTGACAATATGAATATATGAAATCTATGAAATTTGCAGTAAAAAATTCAAGATTTCTCCGCTACTCGCGCACGATCGTTTCTCGTATCACATCCAAGTACTTGCACGTCGCCAATATAGAGGACATTTTATTGTAAACAAGTTAGTCTGGATAGTTGTATCAAGTTTGAATTGTAACGCGGAAATGTATTATATAAATTAGAATCGTGTAAATAGTGTAAATAAATTATTCTAAGACTTTATATAAATTAAAGACTCTAATAAACTAAGTGTGAACATTTTATAATAAATAAAGTTAATAAATTAGATAAATAAAAAGTTCATTATTATATTTTGAGAACGATTTCCGAAGTGGCTTTAGAAGTTGCCGTCCACAGCCAGGTTCATTCCCTGTCTGTAACATGCACCATATTTTCTATAAATCCATTCCAAACCTCAGAAGCTAGAACAAAGGAACAAAAGAAAATCAACCGCAGAAAGAAGAGAGAAACTATGAACAAAGAACTTCAAGAACTATACGATTTTAAAGGATACAAGGAACATTACCAGAAACTGAACAAAAACAAAAAGAAATTCAAACAAAAGGAGTAAGCAGATAAGGAGAGTAATATTGACAAAACAGCAAGAAAAACTAAGATGAAATTCCTGAATGGGACATCAGGGGTTTTCAATCGTTCAGATCTCGTTTGCAGTTTCCTAAAAAACTGAGGGCCCCATACTATTGACCACAAGCTGTTGGATGAGGAGTTTTTGGCACCGTAGATTCGTCTTGCGTACATAATAGCAAAGTCACCCTATAGTTCTTCTAAAGTTACAGTCCATGTGTCATTTTTTAAACATGGATGTGCTTCTGTAATAGTGCATTTTTTATATGACGTAACAAACTCTGGTTGATTAAAAACTGCTAAGCACCACACAATTATTCTTTACGTTCCTTTTCCGAAGTAGGTCCTGATTCCTCTCGACAAACATGAAGAAAAAAAATCATAATCTTATCAGGTACTGATCCAGAACCAATAATGTTGTTTCGTCTTTCGATTGGTCGCCGTCTCCGATTGAAATAACTTTTGCTTGTTGATCTCTTTTTAGTAGAAACAGTATTTACATAAATTAGTGACTCTTGTACAATAAAACTTTCTAACTGATCTGAAGCATCCAAGTCACTATTTTGTAGTGGTACATATTCTTCATTGTCTGACTCATTATTTTCTTCAAATTCAGATTCGCCTCCCGAAACATCTATGTTTCGTATTTCTTCAAGAAGTTCAAGTTCTGACAGTCCACGTCGAGACACCTTTACAATCGCCTTGAATCTTCACAAATGATCGAATGTTCACGATAAAAAAAAACTTTTAAGGAACAAATACGATGTAACAAAAGACCTAGGAACAAACGTACATATAATTTTACCCATCCGACAAGAAGTTGAAAGAAACAATTTTCGAATTTCCGAGAAAACTATAATAACCGGCACGGGGCCAGTTTTTCCCCTTCAGACTTCTATGGTGGGTTTGTTAAAAAAAACATTTATAAATTTATTATACAATATTTTTTGTGTTAAATAAGACTTTGCATCAAAATATTAAGTCACACAATATGAAATTATTATAGCCTCAAATTAAAAAACACAGTAACTTCAAATCGCAACAGGGGTCAAATAGGCCCCTCCGACTTTCTAGTATTAAGGCTGTTTTAGCAGTTCAAGCACACTGCGATTTGAAATGGGCGTATCACTTACATTTCTACACTGCTTTACGCGAGACTATCCTTACGGTTGGCGCCGGCCAACCGGTAGTTTAATGACAACAAATACATTACTCTCCATTCAAATTAGTTTTAACACGAACTAACTGACCGTACGTTCATGAGATTTGACGTCACGAAGGCGATAACGGTGAATCTAAGCGACAATGATGAGTGAGACGTTTCACTATTAGATTTAAGGATTTTTTAGCAATTTTCTTCAAAGTTGGAACACGCTTTTCTCGATTATTACTGGACACAGAAAGGTGAAAAAAAATCAACGATTACAGGAAAAAAACTCTTTCAAGTGATGGGCGTAAAAAGTTTGGTTATAATAGAACGTTAAACAGTATAATCCAATTTTTCAACACAAGTTTCAAAAAAATAAAAGAAGTAAAACCATCATTTTAAAAGCAACATAATTTCGAATATTGTGTCCAAATTTCGAGACATTTTGTCAGTAAATAAAACTCCCTGGGTTTTGGTGCACCGATAACACAGCCTTAAAGTACTTCTTCTACTAGAATCTTCATTCAAAACTAAGATAAGCTCGACTTCACCCATGGATGGAAATTAATTTCTAACCAATAACAAGCTGCGATGTCACACACACCCATCAATGGGTATAAACTTGAGCTTATCTTGGTTTCGAATGAAGAGCTTATATTGGTTTCGAATGAAATATAGTAAACTATTTTTATACAGAAAGATAATCAAGATTCAGATCAAGATATTTTTAATAAAAATCAATAAATACCTCGTACTGGGTCTCGTCCTCACCTTCACCATCTTCTTCTTCCTCATCAGATACTGCCTTCGACTTTTTGGTTTTCTGGAAAAATAATTTATTGAGAAATTCAAATAAAAATATTAGAAATAGAACAAATAGTAACAAATATGTTAAATGTAAATATCTCACCCTAATCATCAATAACAGGGGTATATATTAATACTATTATCGAGATCTAGAAATTAAGTTCTCTGCAGTTATAGACAACTGAGACAATGTGGCAACGTGGAGGAAGGTATTCATAAGCTTATAAATATATTTCTTATGGTTGTAGACCAGAAGTTTTTTATTTGAAATTTACATAATTTAAAATTGACAAAACAAAAAAAAACATTATGGCAATTATTAAATGATACTATAAATCACAAATTATGCGTCGTAATTGCGTAAGTGGTCAAAAGTAGCCGAAATCACGCGTCTATCATGTATTTTTGGAAATTTTTAATTCGATTGTTGGCGGAGCGTAAGAAAATATGTTTGCTTGCTGGTCACTTTACATTGAATAAACGGTTTTTTTATAAAAATATTGCTTTTAATTATGTGTTATGTGTGCACTAATGTGCGCTAAAAAAAATAAATTCTCCGCTACTGATACGCTTCTTGGTAAAACTCATAAGGACAGCTAAATTATAGGATATCTTACGATATCACGCGTATGATTCATTTCATTATTTCTTTGCTGCTACTGAGTATAAAGTACAGTTATATCTAAAACTCAACATAAATAATTGTGATAGGAGCAAAACATGAGTAATTCTACTGCCAGGGATATTTTTATTACCTGATAAAAAATAATGACATAATAAATTCGTCATGAACGCTACGAAAAAGGTCATAAAACGTTTGAATATCCAACAAAAACTGTAACTACAAATGTAACATAAAAATATTACCTGACAGAAACGAAAATACAAACTATAGATTCATCTAAACCTCAATGTGAAAAAGACAAAAAACTAGTAATTCTAATTCTTGGGAAAAAAGAAATCTTCGCCCCTAAAAACGAATGTTTTTAAAAACAACTAAAGTGATGAGGAGAAAAAACGAACACTATACTATCAATATAATAATAATAGAAATGAAGAAAAAAGATAGTTATTAACAAATAGGTAGTGGGCAGATCTTGAACACCGGAAGCTATCCTGAGACTAACAACGCGTACAATACCGTCAGTGCCACAATGAAATTCAGTGATTCTGGCCAATTGACAGCGAAGAGGAGAAGAGCTGTTGTTCATTTTTTATGAGGACTAGAGAACCTTTAGTGAGAGATGGGGTTGGACTATGCCATTTGAATCGCTTTTGAAGAGAATAAATATACACTTTAAACCATATTTTATATCCTTATCCTTTGAATTAATTGAAAACGATTCAGACGGTTAATCTTTAAAGCGCTTAGATCTGGATCGGGAATTGAATTCACTGAGGGTTCAAAAATTAAAAAGTGACCAGGAGTCAGTGCCTGCAAGTCATTAGGGTCAGAGCTTGCTGCACACAAAGGACGAGAGTTAAGAACTGCCTAGATTTGACTCATAAGAGTATAGAACTCTTCATAAGTCAAAACTTGTGCACCCAAACACGATACATATGGTTCTTGAATGATTTGACCCCAGCCTCGGCTAATCCATTAAAATGAGTCCATTAATCCATAATAGAATAAGTCTCAGCAGCAGAGTGAGCTAGTTTAATGATTTCGTTGCTGGCTCCTTTAAAATTGGTACCTAAAATCTACGAAAAGCCGAAAAGAACTTAGAACTAAGACTAGTTCTAAGTCCTTTTAAGTTACTTCCAAATTAAATAGCTTTGGTGCTCGTACACACGAATACACAAACATATCCTTCATTGAACACAAACATTGGCAAGTTTGCCATAAAGGGGTTGTAAGATTTAGGTCGGCACCTAAAACAATTAACGTACTTTGAAAAACAGCGATAAGTAGCACTTTTCGGAGACAGAATCCAAGCGCCGAAGTAATAAATAATGCATAGCCTTTAAATCAGGGTGTAGATGCGTTTGATAAGTCCATTTGATGATTAAATCGGTCAGACGATGAGTTTTGGGTAATAGCAATGGATGTTTATCAAAACACAACTGAAACTTTTGTAATCAACCTCCTCATATCAAAAGATATGTACGTGCTTAACAATGTATTGTAACGCAGATTCAATTTAAAAAGGACTGACCAGGGTATCTGAAGAGGCAGCATTGTTTTTTCTTTGAAGTTTAGCAACGAATTTTAAGACGTAAACCATGACTTTCTGAATTTTTATCAGGGATGAAAATTTTAAAAGTAGAGATGATATTATCCGTAATGACCGGTATCAATGATAATACAGTGGTCAATTTTTCCTCTAACATTTCCGTGGGGTGTGAGGAGTGAAAATTAACTTGAGAGGGCCAACAATCCCTTGACTTCGAAAGAAAGTTAGAACCGCGCTACCAGAGTGAAAATTGTAGTAGCTGTGCCGGTGTCAAACCACGACTAGCACAATCAGCAGGATTTTGATTAAATGGCACATAATGCCAAGAAGAACATGGTATAAGTTCTTGTATGTGTCTTACACGATTGGAAATAAAGGTTTTCCAATTATGGGGAGAAAAATTAACCTAAGTAAGAGCAATCGTGGAATCCGACCAAATATGAATATCGGAAAAGGAAAAGATATGCTTAAAGGACTATTTAATAAAGGGGACTAGATCCGCCAGCAATGCAGCTGCCAACAGTTCCAATCTTACAGTAGATTGTATCTTCAGAGTAGACACTCGACATTTAGCACATACAAGTAGTTTTAAATATGTTAATATACAACGCTGACATAACCTAACTCTGAAGCATCGCAGAATCCGTGAAACTCGACTTTATAAATTGATTAAAGGCAAAGTGTCGAGGGATTTGAATGTTCGCAAGGTCAGGCAACTCGGTTTTAAACTGATGCCACACCTGTTGTATTTGTTCAGGTGGTTCATCATCTTAAAATACATTGGATTGCCACAACTGTTGTAGCAGACGTTTGGTCCTTAAAAGACATGGGGAGATGAAACCAAGAGGATCAAAAATACGACTGATTTCCGAAAGAATAGCCCGCTTTGTACAAGTTTTGTCAAGGGGGCAGTAAGAATAAGAAAAGAAGTCAGTCGTCGGGTCCCATTTCAGGCCTAGCACCTTAATAACGGACGGTTCCTCTTTGTCAAACGAACCAGATGTTAGAATATCTGAGCTAAAATAGTGAAGTAGACTGGGATGGTTGCTGGCCCATCTGCCTAGCTCAAAACCACCGAGCTTTAAAAGTTAAATGAGCTCTGACTGTAGGGAGCGGGTAGAGGACATAATCACTTCCTAATAAACCGTCGTCAATATAAAAATGTCGCGTTAAAGCTTGTGAAGCATTAGGGAAACGAGACTCTGCCGACTTGAACTCTTGCAGAGTTTTTAAAGCGAGATAAAGTGAAAAAGAAACACCGTAATATGACGTAAAAAGTATTCTTGGAGAGGTTTAGAAGAATCCGACCATTCCGACCTCCAGAGAATTCTTTGATAATTCCAAAATTGTTTGTTTACGTTAATTTGTCACATTTGCTTTATATCGCACGTAAATCAGTAACAAAAATATCGAAAATTAAGTAAAAGTGAAGAAATGTCCTTTTGAAGCTTAGGACCTGTATATAAAGTATCATTGAGAGACACACCTCGAACGTCACGTAGACTGGCGACATTAAAACTGCGTGATGAGCAAAATAATAAGAGGTTGGCGATTTAAAATGTAATTCAGGAACCGGTACCATACGTTGGGATAATATAACCATTCATGAAGTCAAACAAATTTCTCTTGTAGATCCGGAATTTTCTTAAAACGATTCTCTAACATACACAAACGACGATATGCTTGAGAATAAATGTCACAAAAGACAGGATTGGGTTGTCGAAACGGTAGAAAAACAGAAAATCTGCCTGTTGACTCTCGGAAAGTTAATACCTTATAAATATCTTCACAAGCTTGATCGTCCTGGGACAAAATGGCAGCTTTACATATATTTTCGACTTCCCAAAACTTTCGTAAAAGAATATCTATGTTTGTATCTATAGACGCATGTAACGAGGTAAAATGCCAATTTTAAAGAGCCGTAGAGCCTCGATCTTGTAGCACATAACCGAAAATGGTTTCTAAGGCCACAGGTTGGTTTATTTTGGCAACAATTTGACCAGACTTTAAAAAGAGAGGAACTAATTCGGCACCTATCAACATGTCTCTAGGGCCTGGTTGATAGAATGTGTAACCTGCTAATTTCAGATCACGAATATTAGTAAGATCGTGAGGATTGATAAATACCTTAGGTTGATTTAAACACATCTTTTTAACAATCACACGGTTTAATATGACAGAACGTGGTGCCCTGAGTGGTACATTCCGTTTAGACCTTCCACTTGGATTGATAAGCTATTACGGGAAAGACCTAAGCGCCGAAAACAACTATCCGAAATAAAATTAGCCATGGAACCTGTATCCAGTAGGATATGAATTTTCTGAAAAGCACTGTATCACTTTGATCACGAAATAACTTTGATGTGCATCAAACATGTTAATAATAATACAGACGAGAATTTTAAAAGTGATTGTGTGGAAAGGTTAGCGTTTATTAGAGACGTTGGCGCAAAACTAGCCGGAAGAGTTTGAGGCGTCTCTAATATAGGGTTGTGGTATTCATTAGAAGTTGGTGTTTGAGGAGGCGGTCAACTGAATGAAAAGATTCAATATATTAGCTAATTATAACATGGCTTTAGTTTAAATTCTCACTCTCAAATTGGCTGATTCATTATTGTCAAGTTCTGAGAATTCACTTGTCTGAAAACAACATGTTTTTAGGAAACTATTTATCAACCCAAAACACTTCAGATTCCTTAGGGAAACATACCCGTCATTTGTGGAGAAAGTTTAAAACGACATTTTAAGGTTAATTTATTGCCATGCACGGAGGTCCTAAGAACAAAGGAACCATCCTAGTTGACTTTCCTAGATGCGTATTTCTTCTGTATATGCGGCACTAAACCAACCCGTCGTCGCAAACGCATATCAAGACCAGCCAAAATCTGTACCATCATCAACTGTGCGTCCAGCATACCCTTAGGTTCCGAGCGGTGCACCAGCCTCTAGATATCGGCCGCATTCGCAAAAGGTAAGTGAATCTCGTATAGAATTGAAGTTATTAAATGTGCCAATTGTTATTTGAATTACAATCATCTACATTACATATCCATTTACACATATTGAATTTTTCGTTATTTTAAATTAAATATTAATCAGCGACCTCATTAAAAAACATTGGTCCTTCAAGCCGGATTCAATTTTCATTCGAATGACGACCCGTTTTTAATCGTATTATGTATACTACAAAAAAGTTAGGGGATGGGGAGGTAGGTTTGGAGACAACCTCCAAATATCTAGAAAAATCGAGAAAACAATATTTTCGCTGTCGGTTTTATTGGCCATTGCATGCTAATACATAATATAAATTCTCAAAAAAAGTTTTAAACCTTTTGGAGCAATATTTAAAAAAATTTGTAACTTTTTCTGGTTGCATTTTTGCGTATAAGTTAGGCCCAATTGTCTTATTTTCATCCCTAAACATTGTGGTATAATTTATAAGTAATCTTTTTGTAAATACTTAATATGTTTAAAGTTTATATAAAAATAGCAATTCTCTTTGTTTATTGTTAAACACATGATAATTTCAAGTTTATTTATTTACATATTTATTTAAAAACCGACATTTATTTTATTTATTTTCATGAACATGTAAATAAGCAATTTAATAAACAGTTACTTCAAAATCAACAAAATTATATTTTTTACACATTTCTAAATATTTTTTACAAAATCATATTTTTTATATAGAAATAAGTAAACATATTTATATAAGTAGCTGTATATAATATTTTGTAGTGTGATATTAATAAATTTTATCAAATGTAGGAAATGGATTTCAATGCCTTATACTGGGTTTTAATTGTCCTCAAATTAACTCTATGTGATTGAAAACACCGAAATAGGGAGGTAGTCTCAATATAGTGTATAGTGTGTCCATTATTTTCAGCAATACTGTTGAACACATTAATTGGTTACACTGCTTTGTGTGTAGAACTTCAATAAGTTAAAATACAAAATTTTCCATTAAAAAACTTTGCAGTTCAGCTTTCTTTGACAATGTAATTGGTATTTTAGTGAGCTTCAACACCATTTTCATCTTGTTATGTCCTTGGATTCAGGTAGAATATTAGACCAATCAATAAATACACAAATCTTGAATTATGTTGCTGTGAGTCCATTTTAAATAGGTAAAAGAAATAAGAATAAGACTTTCTCACAATCTATTGATTAATACTCAATCTAATCTAACTCTTATTCTTATTTCTTTTACCTATTCAATAAATATACCTTTTTTCATTACAATTGTACAGACAGGTTTGACAGTTGAAATAAGTAGTATGAGATATTACAAAAAGACTCAAATAGGGATTCGTCAATGTTTTAGTGGAAATATTATCTGGACCAGCCTTAGAAATTAGCTCATTTTTTTAAAATATCTCATAAAGAAATTAAATTTCACAAAAACTTCAGGTACATTTAAACAAATTTGAATAAATAATAAAATAGTTATTAGAAATATTTAAAAACAGTGATTTTGTTGTTCATTTTGCAATAACTTTTTTGTTTATTATCCAATTTTAATTTAGCATACCTATCTCATTTTGTGTGTATTTTTCTCTAAAAAATTTGTGTGTTACATTTTTAAGTTATGAGTAAAATAATGAGAGAATGAGAAAAGAGAATAGGAAAATAAGCAGACTTTGTATAAGTATGATAATTGTGAGTTTTTTTGTGTCGAGTGCTTTTAAGTTCCTATAAAAGCTTTCTAGTGCTTTAAGTAATCTATAAAAATTTAATGTGTAATAAACTATATACAGTTTACAATTTACATACACTCTAAAAAAATCACTTAGCAACCTAATTCAAAGAATGGTTGAAGAAACATCACACTCTCTGTTAATACCCTCTTTCTACTGTCACTAAATAAAAAACAAATATAATTATGTATGCCATGAAGTTTATATGAAGTAAAAAATTAATTCAAACTCCTAACTAAATTGATCGGTTTTTGTATCTTGGATCATACCAATATTAATCCCCTTCTCAAACATATCTTGTCTTGTACTGGGACAGTACTGGGATGAGTTCAAAATGCATTCATTCTTTATTGTTCTGTTGTCTTTGCTTGAAGTGCTTCAATTCTATCATTCTAACTCTACTGCAATGATCTCAGCTTATTTCCTCATTACACTGTAGTACTGATACTACTCTTCAGTCCATTTCATTTCTGTCTTATTAAGTTTTAAAACCATTTTGTTAAGGGCCTGGCTTCAGATATCGGCTTTTGCAAGAAATGTCATCTTGGGTATTCCTATTATCTGATGCAAAATTAATAAGAATATAATAATAACTCAGCATGCAGATATGTTCAACATAGTGGCGCACCCAGGGGATGGTGTGGAGAGAAATATGAAATCTGTGGCTGTGAGAGAGATGTTTGTCAAGATGACAGGAAGTAATTTAACAGTAATTAAAAGAAAAAAGAGAAACACCAACAGGATCAATGACAGAGATAAAATCTTGATAACAGAAGGGAGTATTCCAAAAATGTCGTCAGCCTTACAGCAGCCATCCCACTTTCAGAGTATAGTATGTGCAAAGGTCAACTGCACACAAGTAAGAGAGGGTGGTTTTAGTTGGTAGACAGGATAACTGATACTTGAATCTTTGGCACTACTATCTTTATTACTTATTAAAAAGTAAAATAAACTAAAACCCAAATTTTAAAGACTCATAATGGAGGTAGCATAAAAAAATTTCAGTGCCCAACCAAATCCCCCAAAGAAAATTCTAGGTGCACCACTGGTTCAACATATCTGTTGTCTTTGTACACAGGTACTATGCTACTTCTCTATTAATCTGGCATTTTTCCTACTTCAATAATTCAATTAAATATACATGTTTCTATTTCTCCTAACACTGCCTATATTCTCTCCTGATATACCATCTGGTACAATTCTTACCTTCCTTTATTTTTCAATTGCTATTTTGACCACTATTGCTGTTACTGTGTCTGCTAGTTCTGCTTAAACTCATTCTTAATAAGGTATGGAAATATTTCTTTTAGAATAAAGCATTATTACTTGACCACATAATATTGTTTAATGGCCACATATGTGGACTAATTAATGGAAATATGTTCAGAAAAATAGTAAACAACCATTATTTGGCAGAGCTTCCATTTTGCAAGTGGGACATAATTTTTTTAATGAGGATACATTTTTTCTAAAGTATATAATTAGCTAAAAATATGCTCGTTAGTATTTAAATGCTGCTTAAACAAAAATAAGTACAGAGAAGCATGATAAGGTATAGAAAGCTTGACCTACTGACTAACTACATTATTAGAATTTATTGTTTAAGGAAGTAAACAATATGTCAACAATCACTGGTTAGTATTTTGCTCTATAGTTACTTACTTCTTTCGGTTTCTTTACTTCTTCAACATCTTCAAGAGGGTCAGCTTCTTCCACTGGTTCGTCAACTGTTTTTTTGCCAGGTGAAGACGCATTTTTTCGATTTGATTTAGATTTTCTCTTCTTATCTTTTGGTGGCTCATCGCTTTCCTGCTCTACATCTGAAGCACCGCCGTTTTTTTCTACAGAATCTTCTACTCCATTAGAGTCATCTTCTGCTTTTTGTGCCTTTTTAACTCCTCTCCGTTTCATTTTGCGTGTTGTGCGACGAAATTTGTATTCAGTTTACCACTGACTAATCAACAAATCAACATCAACAAATATATCACCTATTCTTAAAATGGATGGTTTACAGGAATTAGCCAACCCTAAAATGTGAAAATCCCTACTAACAAGGACTTGTTCGTTCGTAATTATAACCACTCATCTCATACTCAATACTCAATGTTGGAAAATTTTCTATGCCCAGCAGAAAAGAAGAATAAGAGATTGGCAATCCAATGTAACGGACGGTCCGTTACGGACCTGTGACTCCAAAAAACTAAATTTATGGTGGTTGGGCAAACTTCTGTTTTGAATTAAAAATTGATATGAATTATAGATATATATTATATTGATATGTATTATAAAACAGTTCCAGAAAACGTCAAAAATCAACTTAAATTGTGGCTTATTCCCAACAAAAATAGTAATTGCACTAATGAAATAGAGTTCAAAAAAATAATATTTGAATATAAATTTCTACATTTTTATTAAAATCTGTCAAAACATTGAAATTCAGAAAAATTGTATGCCTACATATTCATACAAGGTCATGTGGTTTGCAAAATAAGAGAAATGAGGTTAAGTTAAATTTTCCTGGAGCTAGTTGTCAAAAAGTCAAAATATATTACTCATTGTATATTTCTGCAGAATTTAACTGGATAAATTAATTTGTTTTTAATGTCATGGTCGCCCAGACATCTGATACAGAGTATAAAGTAGGAAAGAGAATTGAGTGCAATGGTAATTTTGGAAGTATAAAATATGTAGGTCCTGTAGAAGGGTATCCTGGAAACTGGTTGGGTATTGATTGGGATGATAAAGACCGTGGTAAACATAATGGAACCGTGAATGGAATTCGGTACTTCTATACAAGGTAAAAATCTAAACCAAATTTCTTTTTCAATAGACAATAAAATCCTTGTATCCATTGTTGAATCAGTAGCTCATAAAGGTCCCCTTGTATTTGTTTTCAGAACACTAAAAATATCAAATTATCTTCAATTCAGTATACATTTTTTGTACATAAGATTTGTGGTATGAAGTAATTAAACAGAAGTGAGAATATATTTTCAGCAACTGAAAAAAATTTAGAGTTTGGTGGAATAGTATTCTACTGTTTAATAATTCAGTGCTGTTTAATATTAGTATAGGAATTTTGCAAAAGTGAAATGGTTATCTTAATATTTCTGTTGAAAGGATCCTAATGTATATTAACATGGTTTGTATGGGAATGTATGCTGTATGTGTTGGAAACCTTTTCCACTTTCAATCTCATCCCAGATCTACATGTTCCTCATATAGTGTATCTGTGGTTGATCTCAAATAGTAAGATTTTTACCAGAATTTCCTCGAAACTGGTGACAAAGAAATTATAGCCAGCTTATTAATAGTTTACTTAAATGCAGCAAGACAGCAAATGTGGACTTTAGAAGACTCAAACTTCCAAACATCAAGTTTGAAATAGTGTCTTCTAGTAAAAAATGCTTACAAATACATCTAGATATTTTAAAAATATCCAAGTTCAAGGTTGACTTAGCCTGAATAAAGTGTGTATGTTGGGTAAAATCAGGGGTAGTTAGAGACAGGTTTTTAAAGTTGTTGTGTTGTTATAAGCAGTCATACTGCAGCCAGTTTTGTATCTTCTGTTTATTTAAACTTCTAGCTGAGGATTTAGTGTTAACAACTACTTATGTAGCTGAGACCTATGGCATTACACGAAGCACTCTGCTGGCTTAGTTAAATTATAAATTGAATATTTTCTAGTCTGCTGGGATCACACCTGAGCCATCTGGCTTGCTAAGCTAATACATAGCCACTTACCTAAACTTCTTCTGTCTTTAGTATAAATGTAATTTTTTTCCTTAGTTTATGTTATAATTTTTTTCATCTCTATCCAATTTGTACCATTGAGTAATATTGCATTGTTAACAATGGTCAATATTAGTATGACTGTCACCTACAGAGGGTATATATAACAAAAATCCAAGAATACTACTTTGTGTGCTCTTCGGATGTACACACTTTGACACTCTCTTCTTTTATATATACATTTTTTTACTTGCTCATATACTTATGCCATTTAAGGACTAACCTCAATTTGGTAAAATTATGAATATTAATAATATGGACGTCCTGGATGTAGCAACATAGAGCTCCAGTTTTGTTCTAAATATTGTGCAAGAAACTCTTTTTAATCAAAAACAAGCATGGCTTTTGCAAAGCCTCTAGGCATCCAAGAAAAAAAGAAGAAGTGGGTTACTGGGTTAGCCCAACTAACAGCAAGAGAGGAGAAGTTCAAGGAGAATTTAATAATCCCTTTTTTTTTCGAATAGCTTGAATCAAAAGAATAATTTATTTTAATTAGTAAAGATAATAAAAAACCAGAGTTCATGTGTTCTTTTTCTTTCTGTTATCGTCATTGACTGCCACAGTCTGACAACAATAGTATGTGTTATTACATTTATGAAAGTTTATATTAAACAGAACTCTGAACCCAGAATGTCTCACCATACTCTTTATGTGCAGACTCAGAGAAAGAATGCATAAAGTTTTAGATAGATAGTTAATTTAAGGTTATACCAATTACAATAATTACAATCATTAAATAATTCATATCATATTTAGAACTCAATAATTACATACAATTTACAAAAGACAAATAAATAGAATAAATACCTAAATGACAGTTAACAGTTAAAGCCTAAATTGTATTTTAAAAAGATTTTTTCAGTTTTTTTTTTTGAAAACTATTCAGAGCTAGAAAAAAAGTCTACATCTAAGCCATTTCCAGTTTGACACATTCGTTTTATAGGTCTATTTAGACAATAGTTTGTTTGTTGGAATTCTAAGTGAAAAACATCCTAAGATCTTGTGCACCTTTGAGGAACCATAAGACCTATTCTCTGTAAAATTTGAGGCGAATCTATCATTCCATTTAAATCTTGATAAGAAAAACCAAATCTAGCAATAAACGACGATTTTCTAATGGTATATTAAGTAATTTTAAAATGTTACAATACACTATATCTTCTGAAGAAATCTCTAATTGATAGCCTATAAAGCACAGAAATTTTTTCTGAATTTTCTCAATGCTTTCAATATGACATTTATATAAAGGAGACCAAATAGTGCTGGAATATTCCAGAACTGATCTAACCATAGAACAATACAAGATTGTTGGTTCCAGAAATATATTATTTATAGAGTAATTAAAACAGATAGGTTGTGAGTTTCTAAAAAAGCGCATTATTTTACATTTATCGATATTAAGTGAAAGGTCATTCTTTGTACACCATTATGAGAAATTATTTACAACTTTTTGCATTTTTACACAGTCTCTAACATTCTTAATCACTCTAAAAATTTTCAAATCATCAGCATACAACAAAATAACACAATTTTCAAAGATTTCTAAAATGTCATTTATGAAACAAATAAAAAGAATAGTCAATAAATGACCATCCTGTGGGACGCCAGACCTAACCAAAATCTCTTCAGAAAGACAGTTCTTGACTTTGATATCATGTTTTACTATAAAATTTATTAGCGTATGAAAATAATTTAAAGGGAGTATTAAATTTTCCTTGAACTACTTCCTGGCCATTAATTGCATTTCCTACTCCTCCCTTTGTTACTCATCGGAAGATTAACTATCTGAGAACACATTTCAATGTTTGGAACCAAACTGGAACACATGTATTTGACCTAGGCATGTGTGCCCTCAGAACTGCAAAAACAAATGCAGCACTCTGAACAGGAAAATCGGATCTCCCGACCTTTTGTCTATGCACACTTTTAATGCTTTTAATGACTCAGTACTCAGTACACACTTATGTCAATTCATAAGTCGTTGTGTACAATAATTTAATCAATTTTAATTGTTTTATTTTACCATAATATTTTTATTTAGGTACCCAAAGTCAGGATCTTTAGTAAGAAAAGAGAAAGTAAACTTAGGCCAAAAATTAATTGATTCTGTGAGAACAAGGTATGGATTTATAGATAATGAAGATTCAGCTAAGAAAAACAAAGAAGAAATGATGAAATTTCAACAGATGATAAATGCGCCATTTTTAGAATTTGTTGGTTTTGATGAAGTTGCTGAAAAACAAAGGTAAGTAATACATTTGATTTATTCTGTATATTTTATGCAGATTTCACGAAGAAGTTACATCCTTATTTGACTAGAGATCTACAAAAATATTTGATACCGCTAAGATCAGATTGATAGTGAACTTTGCTTGCGTGACATTGTCAGATTAACTGGGTTTCAAAGGTTCTTCGGTTTTTTATTATATTGTTCAGTAATATAAAAATTCTATATCTTCCTGCTTAATATACCTTGGTAACATCCATCTAATGTAATTTTGGACAAGTTTTTGTATCTTTTGTTAGGCATTTGAAAACCAGAGCTTTGTCCATTCTTAATGTCCACACCTTCTTTATGGTTTTTTTTTACTTTGGATAAAATTACTGCAAATATGTATCCATTTAATGGGTTTAATTCAATTACTTGAAATATTATACAACAATAAATCTTTGTATATTTTGTCAGTAGTCAAAAATATTCAGAATACTTGTGTACAAACCAAACACAAAATAATAGATATCCTCCTGCGTAAATTGTGTATAGTTTGTCAAATGTCACAAAACCACTGCCTTTGTGTACAAACCTTTTTAAATGGATGTTTACTCTGCATTAACATGTTCAACTGAAGTCCACTCTCCTTGATTTCAGATATTTGAAACCTATTCTAATTTCAGCTGTTACAGTGTGTTTCTGTCAATGAATTTGTCAAGATGTTCCCAAGCTCAGCGAATCAACTATATAATTTTTTTCTAAATATGCTATATAAAAACGCTAATGCTAGATCTAATGAAATATTATTTTAGAAATTTCCAGTCACTGGAAGTTGTAAATGTAAGACTTCAGAATGTTAGCATCATTGGAGACTTGATGAATTTATGTCCAAATGTTAGAGAGATTGATATATCAAAAAATCTATTATCAAGTTGGAATGACATTTTCAGTATTTGCTCACAACTGAGACATCTGTATTGGATAAATTTAAGGTAATACATTATTGATTTACATTATAATTAGGTATAATAATGTCTTGTGTTTTATTTTTCAGTGAAAATTTGTTATCTATGCCAGATAACACAGATAAACATGTATACCCTAATATAACTGTATTAGTTTGTGGTTCCATGGAACTGACCTTTGAAGATGTTACAACGATTTCAGCAATTTTCCCAAACGTTGAGGAGCTAAGAGTGCCTTATAACCATATAACCAATTTAACAATTCGGTCCGATCATAATTTTAGGAGGTTGAAATATTTGGACTTGGAGGGTAACGACATAAGACATTGGTCAGAAATTAATAAGTTATCTGTAATAAAAACGTTAGAACATATGACTATAGAAAATATTAAATTAGAAAGTATCAGATTTGAAGAAAATTTAATACCAGTGAGTTGTTTTAATAATCTGGAAACACTTAACTTGAATGACAACTTAATAGCAGAGGTGAGAATTTGTTATAGTAGGTTTGTAAGACTTTTTTAAAATCGTAATTTTATCGAATCACTTTATTGAAATAATTGTGCAGCTGATGGTAATTATTGAAACTATATCTTGTATAAAAAATGAGTCCCTGCGTTTCATGGAATGATAGATGAGTTGACTTACGGTTTGAAATTCTTGTCGTTTTCTCTGCTTACTACCACTTAGGCAAAATAGACTGCTTTCTCTGCTTACCACCATCTTATGCAAAATAGACTGTGGCTGATTTTTTTTTATATCTTTAAAAAGAAGAAGGAAAACAACGTTACCCAACACAGGTAGTTTTGGTTGTAGTTTTTGAGTTCCTAATACCTAATAGGGTTAGACCTTTGACACTTCGTCCCGTCACCACTCTGCGACGGTCGGCGTCTAACTAAAAACATCTCTGTACTGCGAGTTCTCTCTCCTCTCGTTATTTTGAAGAGAGCAGCTCCCTGATAAATTTGTGGATCCGTGTCCATCACCACTCATCCCGCGTCATTTTCTCCACCATTTCTCTCACGGAATCAAAACATTCTGCAGTTACACTCAGTAACTGTGTGTTTCACAGTATCCGAGAGACCACAATAAAGGCCTAATAAAGGTTTATTAGGCCTTTCAGGCCGATCAGAACTGAGCCCTCCTAAACCTGAAAACGTAGCTGCGGAAGCAGCCATGGCCTGTGGGCATTTGCGTCAGATAATAATCCAACTGCCTATACCCATAGTCCACTCAGCTTCGAAGATTCGGGATTAGTGACTTCGTCCATTCCGCTACATCACGTGTTGCCTCCCACTTGTGCTGCCACTGACCGATTGAAACCAATCTCTCGACCAGGCTTATCTCATTTATCTCTCGCTCTCCAATGTTCCGCACCCTACGACTATAAATTCTGACCCTTTTACCTGTCAGCACATGTAAAGGAACACAACCGGTGATCACCTATAGAGCGGCAGCTGACACAGTCCTGTAGGCACATGCTACCCGCAGCAGACTAGTTCTGTCCACGCGTACCTTGAGCCTCTTGTAAATTGGTATTTCTACTGCCTCACTTCAGACTGGGACCGCGTAGAGGACGACAGACTGCACACCACCGTCAAGCGCATTTCTCCTTTCGGATTTGGGTCCACCGATATTAGGCATTATCCTCCCCAGCGCAGCGATGATCTGAATAGCTCTGCGGGTCTCCCCCTCAAATGTTCCCCAACTCACACCCTGGTGGAGAGTAACTCCCAGATACTTGACGTACTAAGCCTCCGTCTTATCCTCCGCGAGAGAAACATCATGCTCATCCAATTCTCAACGAGACACACGGACGCGTAATCCGAAGCAAGAGTTCCTCCCTGTCCCGTGCCGCTTCCAGGAAGGAGGTCAACCACCCTCCCCACAGCGTCGGACCCAGGACGGAGCCCTGCGGGACCCCAGCCGTTACATCTACCATCACACCATTTTACACCACAATCTTCCTCTCGGAAAGATAATCAGCGACCACATTCCTAAGATACCCAGGAGAGTTCCTTGATTGCAATTTATTAATACCCCATTGCAATTTATTAAAAGCATTTAGGACGTCAAAGAGAATCAATATGACCCATCTATGATCAGCCCCAATTCCCCGTGCCTCCCGAAGCACATCGATCACCGCATCCACTGTATTTTTACCCTGGCAGAAACCATATTGTCTCGAAGATAGGCCTCCAGACATCAAAATCACCTCCTCGATACGTGCACGTAGTATTCTCTAATACAACTTTCTGATACAAGGAAGAAGGCAAATAGGACGATATTTTCCTGCCTTGAATTTAGGTAGAAGCACAAGTCTCGAGATTTTCCAGGTATCCGGAAACGACTGCACGCACATGAATGCTCTTCTTGCCGCTCAGTCGTATATCTTTCGCTGCAGGTTATGCTCAGGTAGCCGCTTATTCTTCCCCCATTTGCTTGAAGTCCAGTCCGGGGCCCTCGGCAACCGGCCGCTCACCACCTTTTCGGTGCTATCTCTGCGAGATATCCTGTTTTTATTGCGTAGTTCAAAACAAAACATTTGTCAATCTTTCTTCAAAAACTTAGGTAATATTCTTAAGATCTCTGTAAGCAGAACAAGGAAAAAACAAACAGTAACTAGTTCTACCCTTCGATAACAATTTTCTGCTAAAGTAAACAAAACCTCGTAGTGGTTTAAACTACTATTTCAAATCGCAAAAAGATATTAACTATATCGATTTTTGTGACCTACTTTGTGAAAAAGAAAATGCTACAATACAATGTGACATTACGCGAATATGTAGCTTTACAAACTAAATTATGTATTTCATATTTGATTAGAAATGCGAAGAGAGATCGAACTACATAAATAGTAATGCACAATTAAATTATGTTACAATTGTAAAATCTTCACTGTTATCTATATATTTTTTATTTTAGTGGCGAAGTATAGGAGAGCTTAACAAATTGGAAAAATTTCGCCATCTTAGGCTTTTAAAAAACCCAATATTAGAGACGGAGAATATTGCTACTAGAGAACAAATTATAATAGCTAAAATAGAACACTTACAAGTAGGTATATCATATATACTCTTTTTATCGAAATGTCAAAAAATCAATTTATTTTACAATTTTACCTGTAAATGGAAATGAAATATTTAATATTTTTTAGAGTTTGAATGGAAGACACATCAAAAGTGATGAAAAAAGGGGTGCTGAATACGATTATATTAAAAAGTATGCTTTAGAATGGATGAAAATTGAAAATACAGTAGATAGAGAAAAATTTTTATTAGAACATAATAGGTTTCTTCAATTAATTGAAAGTAGGTATTTTTTTATTATTATTTTAGTGTGTTAACACATTTCAGTTACTTTCAGTAAGTCGTGAAACGACACTAGGTCGTTGGAAATTATGAACAATCCCAAATAAACTTTTAACTTACTTGTAAAAGCACATAAATTTTTTTTTTATTTTAATGTTTTCATCATCATTCTGGCTTTACAAGCCTGCGTGGGTCCTAGTTCGCTGCTTTGATGACGTCGTTTGCTATAACAAGTGGTAGTAGGATTTGTGGTTGCGTGCATATTTTCATATACTTCGTTTTGTTGGTGTTTATTATTAAACCCATTTTTGTATGATGGCGCATCATACAAAAGTTAGGTATCATCAAAACTCGAAAGGGCGAAGAGAAACTTGTGAACCACAGCATCTGGAAAGTGAACTTCTTCATATTGAAAAAGCACTCCCCTCTAATGGTTATACCAGAAGAGAAATACATAAAGCAATTAACAACATTTCTAGAAGAAAGGACGAAGAAACAGCATGTATAGGCAAAGCGTTTTGCCCTATATATCGAGGTTCGAACAGATCGGACTTTGGACAGCTTCAAAAGCACAAAAACTAATCCCATGAAGCTACAACGGGGAGTAAGACATGGAGACACCATTTGTCCCAAACTATTCACCCTTTTTCTAGAAGACATTTTTAAGAAACTAGAATGGAACAATAAGGGTATCAACGTCGACGGATCATACTTAAACCACTTGAGATTCGCAGGTGACATAGTTTTAATAGCCGATAATATCCAAGAACTAAATTGTATGTTACAACAATTAAATGCAGTTTCAGGAGCGGTAGGCTTAAAAATGAACTACAGCAAAACAAAAATACTGAACCGAGACCAGACAAATATAATAATACAAAATTATAAGAACACAACTGGCATGTGGCGCTTTCGGCAAACTAGCGTATATCTTGAAAAACACCTCCATTCCTATAAACTTAACGAAAAAGGTGTAATAACACATGCATACTATCAGTTTGTACCTACGGCTTGAAGAGAGTAGCCTTTATTAAGAAATCTGCTAAAAAATTAGAAACAACGCAAAGAACAATGGAACGAGTCATGCTTGGAATATCACTGAGAGACAAGATTAGAAACATCAAGATAAGACATAGAAAGAAGATTAGGGATATTGTGGAAGAAATTACAAAAATAAAATGGCGCTGGACAGGTAACGTAGCCCGATATAATGACAACAGGTGAACACAGAATTCTAGAATGGAGACCAAGTACGACAATAAGAAGCATGGGAAGACCTCAAAAATAATGGGTAGATGACATAAGAGCAGTGGCAGGCAAACAGTGGATTAGACTGGCGCAAGATAGAGAAAGATGGAAGCAATTGGAAGAGACCTACATTCAGGGTGGGATGGAAAATGGTTGACAAAGAAGAGAAAGATATCGGGGGGGTAACAGTCAAAATTGAGCGAATACTTAAAAAGCCAATGTAAAGACTATTTTCAAGTCTACAAAGAAGATCAAGGCCTGTCTAAGATCAGTGAAGGACAAACGCGACCCATTAGAAATGGCCGGAGTATACCGAATATCATGCACATGTGAAATGGTATATGTGAGAACCACGAAAAGATTCACAAACACAGGATAAACGAACATAAAAGCCGTTGTCGTTTAAGACATATCGACAAAGCTGCCGTTGCCGAATACGCTTTGGGAAGCGGAGAACATCAGATACTCTTTTGAAGAAACGCAGATGCTGGATAAAACATCTCAGTACTACCCACGGTTATATCGGGAAGTGGTGTAAATATATAAGCATCCAAATAATTTTAATCGAATAGAAGAAGGACTAAGAATTAACAAAACATGGATACCGTTATTAAAATCCACAAACACCCCTCCCCCATAACACGAAGAAAGAAAAACAACGAACGACGACACGCCCTCTCACGCCGAAACCAGTGGAGAGGAGGCAAATAGAAAATATAAACATGGCCTCTGTAGACGCGGCGTCAGTTTCAGCTTTCAAGCGAAACAGTAACATCTCCAGAATGTGCCAACCCCTAGTGTTGGCGAAACGTCGAGAACTAATCTCAGAAGATAACGGCCTAACAGCCCGAACAAACAGTTTAACAATATTTTAAAATTGTAGTTTATTTCGTCTTCCGGGTTTGGGACCGTGTCATTTGTGAGTGACCCAAAAGTGGGTTCATCTCGACATTTCGCTACAATTGTATGTAGCTTCTTCAGGAGAACAAAGAAAAAAAGAAAACAGAAGACAGGGAGATGGGTAGTTAGCAACGGTAACTCAGTTACTCAACGCAACCAGAGGCGAATACTAACTACCAAGATGGGCATTTGGTCACAGTAACTCAACTACTCAACGCAGCCAGAGGTGAAAACCAAATGCCAGGACAGGGATTCACGTCCAACAGCTCAGAACACTAACGCGTCGAGAGGCGGGGAGTGAATCCACTCCCCGCGTTAGTGTAGTGGAAGACGAATAAACTACAATTCTGACTCTGGCCGTGGAAGCCTACGATTTCAATATTTTAAAAGTTTAAAAAGAATATAAATAACGATCACAAGCTCAATTCAGTACACAATAGATATCACATTTAACGAAATGCGGTTTTGTTACTAAAGTACCCTCGCAAAACTCATGAGATGATCAATATACAGGGTTACGCAATTGAACTGTTACCAACTTCACATCGATATATTTGGCAAATCGATAATCGACAACTACGTCAAAGTTGGTCTGATAACACTACAGTATATGGTTTATAAGCCGTCAAAAGCATTTGCATTTAAGTTTTATACATTCAACAAAAGTTATTCGCAATGGAATTTAAACGCAATAGTGTGATTGCGTTATATTTGGCTGGAAAATCACAACCAGCTATTGTTCCTCAGCTCAAACACCTCAAAGTGAATAAAATGTTTGTGTATCGCACCATAACTCGTTATAATAATACTGGTAGCATTGCCAAACGCTATGGTGATGGACGAAAAAAAACAGCAAACATCACCTGAAATGGTTCGAAAAGTGAAGGCTCGACTTGAACGAAATCCACGTCGTAGTGGTAAGCAAATGGCCAAAGAACTGAAAATATGCCAGCGAAGCATGCAAAGAATATTGAAAAAGGAGCCCAAGGTCAAGCCTTACAATTTCCACAAAGCACACAATCTTACATTAAAGCAAAAAATGTTCGGCTTGAAAGAGCAAAGGAATTGTTACTTCTGCACGAACGTGGCGAATTTTCGAACATAGTGTTCTCTGATGAGAAAAATTTTCCTATGAGCTACAGTTCATAAACTCTCAAAATGATCATGTTTACTTTACCGAACGCACCTACGAAAGTTTGAGCTTACGGCCACAAGAAGTAATTCTCCATCTCAGGTAATGAAAAGAAAGGCAGAATTACAGTCATCAGACCAATAATGACATACGCGGCAGAAAGAAACCCTGAAACAGAGAGGACAAAAAGGATGTTAGAAACAGCAGAGATGAAACACAAAAATTGATGGTAAACCACTATGGGACAGAGCTAGAAGTACAGATATACGACATAGATGCAAGGTGGAGAACATCAAAAACTTTGTAAGAAATATAAGAGTAGAATGGAACGATCATATAAGCCGAATGACAACAAATAGAGTAGTAAAGACGGCAAGAGACGGTTCCCCAATAGGAAGTCCACGAAAACGATGGAATGACAACTTACTGGAGGCACATTGAAAAACAGACAGAGTCATGTCTATATAAAAAGAAGAAGAAGTAATGGTATGGGCAGCTGTAACCGCCGATGGACGCTCTCCAATCGTTTTTATTGAGTCTGGTGTCAAAGTCAATGCAACTTATTATCGGGAAAATGTTTTAGAAGCTACTTTAGAGCCGTGGGCACGCAAAGGTTTCGATTGTAGACCATGGACGTTCCAACAAGGCACCGTCTCATAAAGCTAGTGTGAACCAAGAATGGTTAAAAAACCATGTTCCACACTTCATTTCATCAGGACAATGGCTTTCGAATTCGCAAAACGCAAATCCGATGGACTATTCCATCTGGTCCATTTTGGAGAGCAAGGTGAGGACTAAAAAATATGCCAGTATGGATGCGCTGAAGAAAGCAATTATACGTGAATGGGTCAAAATACCGAAAGATCACATTCGTGCAGCATTCAACTCGTTTTTTGATCGTTTGAATGCCATAGTCAAGGCAAAAGGTGGCCACATCGAGCTAAAGTGAGTGGATTCTCAAATTTTGATTATTTTCACACATTTTTATCATTTGAACCAATAAAAAATAATTTCACACAAAAAAATTATGGTCATTTGAATAGGTAACAGTTCAATTGCGTAACCCTGTAAATGGTGCTATATATTCTACCGATAATGCGTACATAATATCCTACTATTCTCTCATGATCCCAATAGGAAGAAACATGTGTGGATAGCGTACAGGACTATGATAGAAATGGTAGGTCATTTGTGCCTTTTGGATGGGTAATAAGCTTTTTATTGACTTTTGTTTGTATAGCATTTGTAATAATCAGTTAATCAGTAATAAGTTAATCAAAACTCAAACTATATATTTCTATTTCAGTGTATGGCTTGCCGGAAGAGTCTGAACTGATCGTGAAACCAAACATCATTCAAAGCTCCTTGGTGAATTTAATATTTCGATACAATGGCGTAGAAAAGACGAAAAGTTTGCCTGAAAATATTTTAGTTCAGAAGCTCATATTGCTTGTAAAAAAAATGTTTAAATTGAGAGAACGTCCAGTGTTAATATACAGTAGTGCTTTACAGCCAGAAATTAAAATTGAACTATGTGATGAATTCAAAGAACTGCATTATTATTCTGTTCAGGACGGTGATTCTATAATTGTACAAGATTTCTGAAATTAACACCTAATTTAATATATTTTTTATTTTTTCACGCTATACAGTCTTTTATTTTTTTTATTACGGTTCGTATCAACGAACACGTCAAATGTAAGATTTAAAATATGGTACTACAGGTACAAAATCTTTTACAGAAAAAAAATACCAATGATATAATACAAAACGAATGGGATGATCATATTATCGTCCTTTAACCCTTTCACCAGGGCCGGGACATTATTTATATGTCCCAATAAATATTCATACGAACGGTTGACTCTTCTCTCTCTTCAATCCTGGCCCCCCAGGGGGAGTGTAGTGGTCGACGTGATGTCGTGTATTGTCCGTCTCCAGAGATCTCTGTCTCTGGTCATTTCTTTTAATTCATGCATAGGTCTTTGGTATATTCCTGTAATTTGATCTATCCATCTTGTTGGGGATCTTCCTCGTGATCTTCGGCCTTCTACCTTTCCTCCTATTATGAGTATTTCCATGTTTTCTGTGTTTGCTCTCATAACATGCCCAAAATATTTTAATTGTTGGAGATGGACTTTACTAGAGAGTCGTTGGCTAACTTTTAGCTCTCTTAAAATTAAATTATTTGTTCTACGGTCGGTCCAAGGAATTCGTAACATTCGTCTCTAACAGAACATTTCAGTGGCGTCTATCTTTTTTCTCTCCGATTGTCTCAGAGTCCAAGATTCACATCCGTAGGTCAGTATTGGGAATATTAAGCAGTTGATCAACCTCATCTTTATCGCTCTTGAAATTTGACATTCCTTCCATATTTTGGTCATTTTTGCTGTGGCAACTTTTGCTAGATCACATCTACGTTTAATCTCTTCTTGTAATGACCCTGTGTTTGTGATTAATGATCCCAGATATAAGTATGAGCTCACAACCTCGAACCGGTCAATTGTGGTTATGTGTGGATGATTGTTGTGTAGTATATCCACTATCATGATCTTTGTCTTTGATATGTTTAATTGCAGACCAGATATTTGACTTTCGTTTTCGATCAGTCGTATAAGTTCCATCAGCTCTGCTTGACTATTTGCAAGAAGGGCTGTGTCATCTGCGAAACGTAGGTTGTTTAGTTTATGACCATTGATTGAGATGCCCTTTTCCCATCCTTTAAGTGCTCTTCTCATAATTTACTCTCCATATATGTTGAATAATTGTGGAGATAGTATACATCCTGGTCTGACACCCCGTTCTGGATGAAACTCGTTCGGAAGTGTGTCAAGTACTGATCCAGTAGTGTGTTCATATAGTTCAGTTATAAGCGTAATTAGATGTTGTGGTACGCCTACTTCTTTTAGTATTCGCCATAAGTGTCTCCACTTGACCCTGTCGAACGCTTTACGGTAATCTATAAAACAGATGTATAGTGGGATGTTGAATTCCCTAGATTTCTCGATTGACTCTTATTTAGACCAAAAATACTTACATCTGTCAAACACTATGCAGTGTTTTTAAATCTTTGTTGAGGCAGACAATACAAAATACACCCTCAGGTGACTTAACATACAATAATGGTGAATGAAATCAAACATTTAGAACACGTTTACATGTCACTCCTGCGATTTTAAGAAAAATAAACTCGTCAAAGTGATCGAAAGTAAATAATATATGTAAATTATATTATATACCTGGGTAGAGAAATAAATTGCCAACTAGACCACTCAAAGGAAATTCAGAGAAGAAAATTCTCTCAGAAGAGAGAATTTTTGAAATCGTCAGATCTGGATTCATGAACATGAGAGACATACTGTACAAGCCAAAATTGGCTGTATACCCGGTTCGCTATTCCCAGTCCGAACTGTCTAGTGATTTTAGTAATTATTTTTTTTCGAAGTTAGTAACTTTTTGACAGACTCGAAGTGGCTGGAAAATACTATACAACCAAGCATACGTGCTCTTAGTCAATATTAATGTAAACAAAAGTAAATAAAATAGAACTTTGCCGACAATCAATATTTATTTATTTACACCGTATAATGTATTGATAACAAATAATAAAATTATTTATTGTACAAAATAAAAAAGTGGGAATAAATTCTACAAAATTAAGAAGTCAAAGTGAGGTTAAATAAGAATAAGACACAGCAAGTTCCTTATGTATTTACAACATTTAGATAATTCGATAAATACATTTTAATGATCAACTTATCTCAACAGGGTTTTCATTCGGTAAAAAAAATGGTAGGCATTTTGAATAAACCTTTGTGCAGTTTTATTATCTAGGAACAGCATCCTTACTAATTTAAAAATATTAACTTTAAAAAAAACTTTTTAAAAAACATTTTATCATATTTATTAAGAAAAACTTACCAACGCATTAGGTGATGGAACAAATGGAAAACTTTGACTATCCATAATAATAAAATTTAAAATATAACTCACTAATTAACTGAATAGAACTAACAAAAGAATTAAACAAAGATAATAAAACAATATTAAATTAAATAAACAACGTGAATAATACAAATATTTACTACAATATTTTAAATTGTAACAATTCAAATATTATATTTTAAATATACAGGGAAAATTTGATGGGTTTAGTATACACTTCCACAATTTAGAATAATTCTTCTTTTTTTTCAAAGAAAGAGGTCTGCAATAGTAGTATACTTGAGCTATTTATACTGAGAAGTAGGAATTGTTGTGTTGTAGGTTTCCTACAATGAGTCTGTCAAAATATGCCCTAGCTAAGCGAATAGACAATACCAATAAGACTGAGAACACTAAAATGTTATGTATGGCTTCTGTATGCCTGCGAAAAATGTAGACTCAAACAAGACATCTACAAGTTAAACGTATTTGAACTGTACATAAGAATGTTGCAAATAAGTTGAACTACAAGAACAAAAAACGGAGAAGTGATGTCAAGGATGAATATCACCCAGATCTGTTGAAGATTGTCAAAGTTAGGAAAACCTTATATCTCGGACATATAATGGGGTACAAGAAATACTAACATTATTAAAGAACATAACTAATTATTAACTGAACAATTAAATGAAAATCTTGTATAGGATGAAAGAACAAATCGTGTGTCAGCAATATAGGAGACTCAACCAAAACTAAAGGAAGTGCTCTCATATACCAAGCTCATAATAAACAAGACTTCGTCATACTGGTCGCCGTCTCAATAGAGATCGTACATTAGATGAGAAGACAAAATAACCAACACAGATGAATAAAACAGAGATATCTCCTATCAACAGACATATTTAATATAGCGTTGAAAAAATAATTAGAGAGGCTAAGATCCAATCTAATGAAAGCTGTGCTTACTAACCCTTGTAAACTTAAGGAGTTACGAAATTATATATTCCAATGGGGTCGTTTAGGCAGGATGTATTGACTGGCATAGAGTGTAGTTTGACGCCGAGGCAGTGGTTTTGAGTGACCTAAGGGCACGAAAGGCTCCTCGACTCTATGGGATACCACCAGAAACGGTGAAAGGCATCGGAAATTTGGAGCTGACATGGCTTTTTGGCACACATGAATGCACTGCTTGCATCGACAAGTATCGACCTGTTTGCCTTCTATTGTGCATAGGTAAATTACTCTTAGAAGTGGATTCTAAGAGGTTGAATCGACACAGCCATTGAAAAGTCAGGTGAACTGTCAGTCAGGCAATACGGCTTAAGAAAACCGCAGCACGATTTATGCGGTGATGTAAATCTTCTAGTAGGAGTAGGGGCTGGCCAGAAATGGCCAATCTTAATGCTGTTTTACCTACGTCCGAAATATTTTCTTTCAATACCTTAAAATGGAAAGGTTTATGAGAGAAAATGTGTTTGGGTTACTCGATAAATGTGATCTCGGACTACCTATCAAAGAGGAAAATTGTAGTGGTTGACACGACGGCTATAGTACGCCAGTGCAGAGAACTACGAATGCAGTTCGTAGGGTGTTTTTTTAGCAGGTGGGTCTCTGGCATTGAGGGCGATGGTGTCGAAGCAATTATTGAAAATGAAAATCATTACCTGATTCCTCTGCATTTTAGCAAAATCAGCGCTTTGCCGATTATAGAGAAATGACATTTAAGAACAGTTTAATAAGAACATCTATGGTTACTGAGTTCCGTTTACTGAAGCTCTTACACTATTTTAGAACAGCAAGAAGGTTTTAATAACCTTATTGGTTGCTTTTGGCTTCGAATATTTTCCCAGTGGGCTGTACTAAGTTCTTTTTCAATTTCCAATGTTTGAGATAGCACACTATGATCGTTCCCTTCATCTGTGAGTAATATGTACAAGACTAAACAAGCATTGCCTCTAGAAGGCATTCTTTTTTATAGGTGTAAATATAAATGAAAAAATACAATTTATAATTTTCATATTTATTCTTTTAACATTCATAATAAAATAGTTGATATTTACAAGATAACATACATTCACAATAAATTATTAATTCAAAACAGCAGTCAAGTTAGTATACAGACTGGCAGTTTTTAAAAAGAAGTAATTAAAAAATATATATGCATACAAACACATGAATACTTAAGACTTAAGAAATATAAAATACAACTTAAATATTTTTGTTAGTTACTATATCACAGCTTATAAACGCATATTTGCGTTAGAACTATATTATCTTATAACTATCCTTATACAGTTTGTGATCAACAGGATGCTCAAGACATATGTTAGTATGTCATATTAGTTCAGATCTTTATTCTAAACAAGCTATTCATATAACATTACAAATTAACGGTTAGTTTCCTTTAATTAACCATAAACCAAAATGAAAACTGATACATATTGGCGAAAGTTTTTTCCAACATTTAATTATTAAATACTTTATTTTTCTATCAAGAAATAGAAGCTTTCACAGCCGAGTTTTGTAAAGATACATTGATAGTAGTATAATAATAGTAATATTTCCACACTGCGTTTAATATGCTTTAGTGTGGAATTATTTTATTCAGACCTTTTGTTTAGTATGCTCAGTTTGCAATCAGCCAAAGTCAGAAAGACAATTGTCTTTGATAATAAAATGAAATGTCAGGGAAAAATTGTTTATGTGTTAATATAAACAACAATATTAGATCATAGCTACTTGTAGATCACAAACTGCATGATTACAATACTGATAAATAATGCCCTCTCATAATTGAGGTATACAGTACTGTCACGACATTTTTGTATATTTAAAATAATCAGTTTTACATAGTTCTACACAAGCACCGCTTTGAGGTATCCAATAAGATAACAATGGCATATCACACTTATGAACTTCCAAAGTCCTCATGAGATTATCACAATGCTTCTTAGACCAACTAAGAACACATGAAATGCTGTACCAATGCATGATAAGGCTTTTAGTCTGATGGTACAGCGCTGAATTAGATAAACTTGTATCTTCCAATGCTTCTTTTATACATGTGTGAAGTCTAGGCAGAACTAGAGGTAGACTACCTTGGAATTTAACATTCCATGTATCTTTGACTTTGGATATAGTACACAACTGTCCTTTATTTGGCAGTTTAAATCCTTTGGGTAACAATTCCTGAAAGTATTTTATAATACTTGTATCTACTTCTTCAATGTGAATTCCAGTTAATACACAATAAGCAATTGTATCATATACAGCATCTGACATTTCTAATTTTATATATCTTAATTTTTCTATGGAGGAACAATCTACTGGACAGGCTGGAATGTTATGAGGTACCCTTTGGAATATTTTTGACCTTAATAAAAACACAAACCACATATGGAGCTGTCCATATATAGCAGATTCACCAATTAGCTCTGGAAGAGATCTTAGAACTTTCTCCATATCATTGGTGGAAGATCTTTCAGTTGTATTCAGTTTGTCTGCTTTTTGCTGTATGCCTTCACTGATCTTCTTCAAGTTATTTTCTATGAAATCATAGTGACTGAGCAAAGATATCTGCAATAAAAAACATAATATTAAAGACCAAGATATTATTGTATATTTCAAAACTTATATGTTAAATATATAATTACCTGTTGTTTCCCAAGGACAATTATACAATATTTTCTCTTAAAGCCCCTTGAAAATGAATCCTTTACGCTAAAAACATGTGCAATGATATGACCTCGATTGTTATCTCCAAAATACATTGTCCCCGAAGTTTTTCCATCTTGCAAAACCATCTGCAACAATACATATTTTGTTATGAACAAATAATAAAAATATATTTAATTATGTTGCTATTTAATAATACATATAATAAGTATATGTAAGTAACAGAAAATGTATATGGTAGACTTGGAATTGGTTATATGAGCAAAAAGAAATAACTAACAAATATACAACAAATTTAAATACAAATATTACGATTAATTTTGATATACATACAGTACACCCAGAAGGTAAGAAATACCAAAGGAGTTTAGATTTAAATGTGTGATCTATCGTACCAAATGGAAGATATTAGTAAGACTCCTATAAAAATACAAAGATTCAAAAGAATATCAATGGAGATGAGAATATTAAGAGAAATAAAAGAACCCTAAGGACAGATAAAACCAGAAGCAGCTAGTTAGACAAAGGTAGGAGATAAATTAATAACAGGATTCAAGAAAATCGTCTGAGTTCAAATTGCCATATTTCACACATAAAAGCGAATAATTTTATTGGGATGCATGCAAAAGTGGTGGTAAAGAAACTAATTAAAAAATATGAAACTAGGAGATAGTGGATAATTTGGGGAAGAGTATATGACTGATTAAAACAGTGCTTACAAATACGTATTATAATACAATAAATCTGAATAAACTCACTTCAATACTAAGACTTCTTAAAATTGCATCTTTTAATAAATGTGCTGTTTTGGAATCAAATGATGTTCTTGAGGTAATATATTGCTTTCTTTCGTCTTCACAGGCATACACTGTATCAAGTTTTATCGATTCACAAGCTGAACAAATGGGAACTTTAAGAGAAGACGGTTTTTCAGGAATTTTGTCAAATGCTTCAGTACACAAAATTACACAGGGTCCATGAGTATCACAAAAATGTCCCATAGCAATTATTACTTCCATTACTTAGACTCTATTGATAAAAACAAACATTTTCCGTAAAGTAAATGTGTGAGTCACAATCACATGAAATTATTTAAAAATAGAAAAATCACGAGATTTGTAAGTCAATGATTTTTCGCAGGTATTCTATTTTTACTATATTTTTTACATCAATCAATGACTTGTGCATTTTTATGAATAGGTAGGTTATTACGTTACTATATTAGTTTAGAAAAGTTGGCTAAGACTATAAAATATAAATCGTCATTTTTACAACTTTTAATTAAAATTCAAAATATGAAAATAAAAATAAATTTCCGACGTCATGGTTGAGGAGTCACACCCTCTTCTTTTTTATTGTGATAAATGTCAATGTCTGAACCGTACATGCAAATAACCACCGTATTTTTCTAGTTGTTCCTTCAACATGTATATAATAATATCATATAATATTAATATTATATATCTATTTTTCTAGTTTCTGAGAAAAGTAGGTATTATAAATAATCTAGGTAAAAATCAAGGAAACCGGGGAAACGCCATTTGTGCATTTTTTTGGACTTAGTCAAAAAAATGAAAAGAAGCTATTTTTTTTGTAATTGAAGGCAATAAAACTAAACAAATTCCTAAAATAAAATATTTCGTTTTTCACATTTCGTTCCCGTGAAGAAAGCCTCAAAGTCAAATGGGTTTGACAGAATAAAACACAGATTATAAGACAAGAATAAAATATTCGCGTTTGGCAGTGTTGAAATTTACATTGCAAATGAAGCATACGCAATCAAAAGCAATAAGATATTTAAAAAACTAATACTTAACTATTACCAAAAAAGAAAAAGTAAATAGTTTTAAAACAGTTTTTAACAGTAAATAGTAAGATATCAGTATAATTAATAAAGTTAAAAAGGCATCTGTTGCAATCTGGCAACTGGTGATTTGAGGGTTCTGACTCTATTGCCAAATCTATCCGCTAACCTATCAAAGGGCAATGGCCAAAAAAGTTTTCTAATAATTAATTGCAACTAATATCAAACGAAACAATATTACTCCATTAATATTTTATATAAGGTATAAAATTGCAGAATCCATTAAAAAATGTACATTTTAAAAGCTTTATCTCTTTGGATTTGAAGCATATAACATATACATTATAAGAACATGGCAACACTGCCAACGTAATAATTTCGTCACAGAATAATAAACAATCAGAATGCCCACTCTCAGATGCCGCCTCAGATGCCGCCTGAATTTTTCTGTGAACACCACATAAACAATTTGTTCCCTTTAAAACATGGCGGAACGTCAGCGCCACGTCTGCGCGTACTTAATTTTCTACAGTAGGACTTCTGTAGGATTGCCTACAGTTTAAAACTGTAGGCAATCCAATTTACACAACTTTAGTAAAAAAGAAGAATTGTCTAACCGTAAATAATTTAAAATATAACCTACCAAATATTGTAAACACATGAAAATAAATACAGAATGAAAACGTTTGAAATTGTTGCTGGTACATACGAAGAGTTTTTGGTGGGGTATGAGTTTTTTGAAAAAGTAAGTATTCAAAGAATAACTGATCAAAAATTACAATTAGGTTTAATTCGACCACTGTGCATGCTACTTATAAATGAGATTTTATCTGGAAAGATTACTTAGGTATATGCAACCTACATGTTTATGATATATGCCTATTATATCTAGTACAATAATTTAGTTTCGTCTAACTTTAGTATTAATTTGTAGGTGTTTATCTACTGAATATTGTTTTATACCTAAGTCTTGTACAATAGTTCAACTCTTGTAAAGAAAATTCAAAATCAGTTATTTTTCATTTTATTAGCAACATGAAAGACCATTGTTCATATTATATTTTTATTTCAGGAAGCACAGCTAGTTCAAAGCTTTGCTTCTCATGATCACAGTGCTAGTATACGTACCTTAGCCAGGTGTGACCACTATGTAGCTTCAGGAGGTGCAGATGATCGTATAATTATATATGACTTTAGATTGCGAAAAGAACATTGTATGTTATCACATCATAGTTCTACAATCACATGTTTAGATTTTACTCCTAACCATTCACACATACTTTCGGGAAGTCAAGATGGGTTGTTAGCCATTACAAGAGTAGGCAATTGGCAGGTAACTAAAACATTATATTATTTAATAGTTTTGTAATGGGCAAAATAAATATCTCCTGTAGTATTACAATTAGAAGGTATAATTACTTGGCTGTAAGTATAATCTATGGTCTTCACACCTTTAATGGCATCTTTAATTTTCATATAAAATATATCAGTTTTCTAGAAATTCTAAATGGCTAAATATTTTATTTTATAAAGGAGTTAGCAATAAGTTGTTATTGTGGAAATAATTACAGAAATATTTATATAAAATATATTATTATCTTGGGTTCTTATCTTACAGTAATGAATCAACAACATTAACCAGCCGTATCTTATAAAAAATTGAATTGTTGCTATTTTATTTTTTAACTACTTTTCTACAAAATGAATTTTTTGAAGTTATAAGCAAGGAAAGTAGAAAAATTGATGTTTTTACTCATTTTTAAATATTTAAATTATTTGATTAATATTCCCTATCTATATGAGAGTGAAGATAAGTCAATTATTATTACTTAAGTTATCACCTAACTATTTCTGCAAGAATCCGAATACCACCTCTCACATCTACTTTAAAACAGATCTGCCCTTGTATCAGGGCTTATTCCTACAAATATTTTAACTCTAGTTTTATTTTTAGGTTGAAAAACTATGGGCAAAAGCTCATAAAGGTTCAGCAATAATAGATATTGCAGTACACCCAACTGGAAAGTTGGCTTTGACTTTAGGAGATGATTGTACATTAAGAACTTGGAATTTGGTAAAAGGAAGGCAAGCTTTTGCAGTCAACTTAAAAAGCAAAAGTAAAGATCCAAAAAGTATATTTAAAATATGTTGGGCTGCTGATGGAGTTAGGTTTATACTGTACGGTGGAAAATACACAGAAATATGGGGTACTGAATCTGGAGGTATACTCCAAGTAATAGAACATGATGTCAAAGTTAGCAGTTGTATTTGGTATTCAGACAAGAAGATATTAGTTGGTTATGAAGATGGAAATATAAGTTTAGTTAAGTTATCTTCATTGAAAAAAACTATAAATCAAGTTCATAAAGACAGAGTTAAAGTTTTAGCTAAATTTGAAGACTGGATCATATCAGGTTCAAGTAGTGGTGAAATAAAAGTCTGTAATAAAGCTCTGGAAGAAGTTAGTAAAATAACTGTTGGGTGTAGAATTACATCTATGGTTATAATACCTCCAATACAAATTAAAAAGGAAGAGGAAGTAGTTGAAACTCTGGAAATTGAAGATGTGGAAGAACCAGTTAAAAAATCGAAGAAGAAAAAGAGGAGTTCACAAATTGTTGATGAAATTGGTACACAACTAGTAGAAGAAAATACTTCACCAGCCAAAAAGAAAAAGAAAATAAAATTTAGTAAAAACACATAATTTAATATTATTTTTGTTAATGTTCTTAAGTACAAAAAAATAAAAGTAATTCTTATTTTATTTTCTAACCCTTAATTATCTTTATCATATCAAAGTAAAGCACATATCAATGTTGTTTATTTTACAGATATAATACATTATTGAATGTTTATTTGAACTTTTTTTCCTAAATAATATTAGGTACAGGCATTTTTTACTTCTGCCGCCGCATTTATGTGTCCAATTTCTATGTTGTCTGTCAAGTTCATTTTGTCATACAAGTTCCTTGCCAATTATTGCATATTCGATATCTCAACTCCAACTTCTACAACATATTTCTTTCTGACATCCTCTTTACACTGCTTTTTTATGTTTTATCATTTACATTGTGTAGATACTATTTTATTGGGAATAAGCCACAATTGAAGTTTACTAATGTTTCAATTTCCACTTTGAAAATCGTTCTCAAAATACAAACATTAATAAATTACACAAATTTTGTTTTTTATTACTTGGTGAAACATTCTTCTGATAATTTAATTTTATCTGACTCATTTATATTCACAATTCAGACACATATACATTTTAAAGTAGACGACTTTAAAATGATATTGCTGAGTTGTGTTCATGGGATGACTTTATTGTAAAATAGTTCATTCAATCATATGAAATCAACTTTAACTCAGGAATATCCATCAGAGAAAAATCGTGTGATATTCCAGGGTCTTTAACAAATAAAAATTTCATTGATTTTCTCACAAACTTTGATTTATTGTAAAGACAGAAAGCATTTAATTTGAGCTCATGCGCATAGCGTCTATTTTCACATTTAATGATGTAAATTTTAAAAAAATTCCTAATTCTCCATTCATTATTTTTTGGAAATAGTTTTCTGCTTTAGTGTGGAAATTTTGTTGTTAAAGGTACTATAATAGATATACATATAGTTTCTTCATTGTTTTTAAAAATACATTTAAATAAAATAGTATATTTTAGAAGTTTACAATTTTGCCCCAACATAGAAATCTATACTATGTATGAATTTGTTCAGAAAACAAATTTGGTTTCAAGACGTATTCGATTGTCTTTGCTCCTAAATATAAATTTGTCATTGGCTTTTAGTTGTCTGGACTTTAAGATTGGTATCTAAATTTCCATAATCAAAATGCAATCTTAAATAAGCCAAAAATTAGAGATAAAATGAATAAAAAACTTGTTACAATTTTAGAGTAGATTACTACTCTAAAAACTCGCGCTGACGAAATCAGCCATGTTTTAAACGGAATCAGTGCTGTTCAGTGACATTTTATCTGGTGTGCATAGACAAATTAACCCAGTTTAATTTATTTACGGCAACTACAGACATAATATGCACTATTTTATTCATACTTTTAGTTGAAGAATAGATTAAATTATTTCAACTGTACTAAATTATTAATAACTAAAAATTTAAATTACAGTTCTGTCGTAGCTTGTCACAAATTTCTCAATTCGAGTCTGTTTCCGTTAAAAATAGGGCGATCGCGTGCTGACAAACTTCAAAGGCGGCATGTGAGAGTGGGCATTCTGATTGTTATTTATTCTGTGGCACGGTTACCCAAAAGATTTTTTACTTTTTGTAATTTTGTTAATTTGACAAACGATATAAGCTTAAACGATCGGATGCTTACTCGATATGATCATATTTACATTTGGGTGTATTGATCAATAAATTTTGTGCAATGTTTTCCTTGTTTGTGTACCTATATAACTACCATTTTTTTGTATATGCTTCAGTCTATTATTTTTTCAGGAATATCTTAAGCGTGTGACTTATCAATTAAAATATATATATTTGTAACAAGTATTTACTGTTTTTGGTAATATTACGAAAGTGGATATCAACCATTATTGGAGGATTACTCCTGTTAAAAAAAAGTTTCGTCATTGCACTTAATTAACTCTGCAGGTATCTCATCTGTGCTGAGCCTACTGCTTTCCCCTTCTTTGCATTTCTGATTATCCTATTACTATTTTCGGTCCCGTTTCTTCCTGTAGTTCTACTTATATCTCTATAATCATCGAATAGTACCGTTATGTATTTTTTCTATAATCTAAGTTTATCCTTGATGTCTGTAATAAGTTTACCGTCGTCATGTGCTCGAATTTATTGATATAACCTTTATATGTTGATGTTGATATTTTATCTTTATCTTTTTTGTGCAGATTAAAATTGTTATATTTCTATCACACTGTTGTATTTCAATGCATTCTAATTATTTTATCTTTGGCTCTCTTAATTTTTACTTTATTTCTGAAGTCATCCAATTCTGCTTTTTTATATTTTCTGATCGGAGAGTTTCTTTCCCTGCCAATAGTGCCAATTAGTACACAGTTTGATTTTCGGAATGCAGTGGGCACGAGAGAAGCTTTCTTTAGTATACAAGTGCTATTCCAACGATGTAGAGACGTGAACTGCGACATTTATGCGTGCTTCATTGACTACCATAAAGCGTTGGATACAGTAAAGCATGACAAGCTGATGGAGATATTAACCAATATTGGAATAAACACCTATGATTTAAGAATTGTCAGCAATCTGTACTGGAATCAAACATTATCTATCCGGACAGAGGCAGGAGAATCCGACGACATCAAAATCAAACGTAGCGTTCGTCAGGGATGTATACTATCACCACTGCTGTTTAACATATACTCTGAGGAAATCTTTCAAGAAGCAGTGGGTGATGTTGAAGCCGGAATTCGAATCAACGGAGAATCTATCAATAACATTAGATACGCGGACGACACGGTAGTGTTCGCTGACAGCTCTGAAACCCTCCAGGAGTTAATGAACACAATCACAGAGGTCAGTCAGAGATACGGACTTTCACTAAACACAAGAATACAAAATGCATGATGATCTCTAAGAAGGAACAGCAATTTGGACAAATCAGCGTAAACGGTCAACAAAGAGTAAAAACATACACCTACCTTGATACGAACGTCAATGAAAATTGGGACCATTCCATAGAAATCAAATGTAGAATAGAGAAAGCAAGATCTGCATTTCAAAAAATGGCTAAGTTATTCAAATGTCATGATTTATCAATGCCCATAAAAATCAGGTTACTACGATGTTACATCTTTCCTGTACTGTTGTACGGAGTTGAGTCATGGACTCTCACAGACGCCACTTGCAAGAAAATTGAGGCTTTTGAAATGTGGCTTTATCGTCGCATCCTGAAGATATCGTATACCGACCACGTTACTAATGAGGGTGTTCTGTTTAGAATGAAAAATGAAAAAGAGCTGTTAACCACAATAAAAACAGTCAAAATCGAATACCTCGGTCACATCATGAGGAATAGCGAAAGATATGGACTGCTGCAACTAATCTGACAGGGAAAAGTAGAAGGAAAACGGGGACCGGGAAGGCGAAGGATTTCCTGGCTGAAAAATCTACGAACGTGGTTCAACACAACAACCACAAATATTTTTAGAGCAGCAGTGTGCAAAGTGCAGATTGCCATGATGGATCCAACATCCGAAACGGATAGGCACTACAAGAAGAAGATGTAGTGAAAATTATTCCATGATACCGCTCTGGTGTCATTTTATTGTAAAATTACCAGAAAAAGTTATAAGGCTCAAAAGAAAATTTGTTCTAAAATGTTTGGTTATTTTTGTTTAACTTTTTTATTTTCCATTTTAAGATTAAAAGTAATGGAAATAAAGTTGTAGACAGTTTAACTTGCTACAAATAATGTCTAATACAATTTTTTGTAGTGTTGCTAGTTTACGAGATGCAGCGCGAAAACCCTTTCCCCGATTTGAACACAAACTTGAACTTAAGCTTATACATAATTCTGCTCCCTAGAGTCAAAATCGGTCAAATCCAAAAATTAAGAAAATGTACTTTTATGGTGGGTAAAAACCTTGAAAACAAGTCTTCAGAATAGTAATGTTCAATACCTGACCAAATCCATATTAACGCAACAAATTAACTATAAAAATCAGTGTGATGTTAAAATTTAGTCAAATCCTGACAATTTCAGTTTCAATTTTGGGCAAGTTCATTTCGACCAATAGTAACTCGGGACTTGCCAAGTACCTATACCATTCGGAATCAGTTATCTGGTACTTGTCGATTCAGTTTTCTTGGGAGCTGATGTCGGTTCCCATGACTACTTGAATCGTTCGGTCGGGTAGCATGCTGTTGATTATTCGAGTGGTGGATTTACAGGAGATTATACGGAGGAGCTTGTATATCAGGCCTTCTCTCCAGACTGTATCGTAGGCCGCTGTTAGGTCTATGAATGCGGCAAGTTTTCTCTGGAACCCTGCCTCAATAAATGTGGTAAGTGAAAGAACCTGATCTGAGCAGCTTCTTTTCGGTCGGAAACCTGCTTGATCAACCGGTATCGATTCAAGTAGCTTTGGACTAATTCTGTTATAGATAAGTGGACACCTACATTGAAACCGTATTTTTCCCGATCCGATATCTGGCGACGTCGGATTAAAAACAAACTCAAGGTATTAAACGTCCATGGTATTAAATCAGAGTGCCTATACTGCTTCGTCATAGAAGCAGTGTAGGCACCGATTTAATACTTTGAGTTTGTTTTCAATCCGACGTCGCCCGATATCGGATCGGGAGAAATACGGTTCCAATGTAGGTGTACACTAAGTCGTTCTAGTAGCTTGAACGTTACCGATAGTAGGGCTATTGGTCTGTAGTTCTTAGGGTTGCTATCATTTGGTTTCCCTGGTTTTAATATGGCAATGATCTTCGAGTGTTCTAAGTTCCTGTGGAATGGTACCGGTCTTCATAATATCTGTGAAAAAGTGGGCCATCCATTCCCTCACATATTTGTCGCTGTTAATTAAGAATTCAGGATGAATATTGTCAAAACCTGGGGCTTTATATCCTTGAGAGTTATAGTGACTTCTTCGCAAGTGAAAGGGCGAGAGTATTCGGTTTCTGCAGATTGGAATTTTAAAGTTTTGAGCTCTCGTTTTGCCTTGATTGTGTGTGGCTTGTCTTTCGGGGCCCTAGATGTCGATGCCAGATGTGAGGCAATAGTGTTTGGGTCAATTGTTGTTTTGTTTCTTGTTATGGGAGTTCCGCTTCCTAATTTTCTTAGTAGTGTCCATGCTTGCCTACTTGATGATTGAAAATTAAGAATTTCTACATCATACTATCAAACGATAAAATCGATTAGTATGTGTTTATCTCGATTATTGTAAAAATGAAGTTGACCATTTTTTAACCCAGGGTACAGAATTATTCCCCAACACGTAAAAAATACAATAGCGGACTCTAAGAAATGCACGCTAAGACATAAGAAATGTAACATTTCAATGGAGTAAAATGATTATGGACTTAGGAATTAAGGAAATATGGATTAAGGAAATTTTGAAAATTAAGGAAAAAGCGTTATAATAAAACTAAGTATTATTTTTAGAGAATTTATTTAATAATTGTACGTTCTGTACCAACATCAAATTATTTAAATGTTTATTATATACAGCGACGTTATATATTAAAATAGTTTTATATGAATAAACTCGTTGATGTTTCATTGACAATTTTGAAAGTTCGCAAACTATTTATTACCGCATCAAGTCGATATTTAATACTGATACAGATAAATTATTTTTATGTTCATTTTAGAAATTTTATTACGAAAATTTTGTACAATAACGACACGGAAAGAAATAATTTACGAATCATATATTTTCGGTGGCCTTCATTGCATATCTATAGGTACGTTAGTTCGTGCACTGAAGACACCGTTAAATAAATAATCGAAATTTTTTTATGAACATACCTTACACTGGTTTGTAGTACGAAATTTACAAATCTATATATAATATATAAATATATTTATTTACAGTTTAAAGATTCAACTATATACATAGAGACCTCAAAAACAAGTGATGTGTTAGCAGTCATTTTACCTTTACATATATATTCCTACTCAAATTTATTCTGTAACTATAAAGCAGATTCACCAGGTTGCACCTCCATTTTAAACATTAATATCCGTATCGACATATTCTAATAAGTGGTATACTGTTAGTATCTTTAACTTATCATTAGTATGATATATGTACACCTTTATATGAAGTATAGTCAATAATAACAATGGTTGTAAATTTGTATTTATGTGGTAATACTATAATAAAACGTACCTTATGTATTGCAGTATGCAATTTAATGTTAACTTTAAAAAATGCCTAAAAGCTGTTAGAAAAGATAAGAACTTGAAAGAAGAATGAAACATAAAAATATCTACTACATAAAAGCAGCGCCGTATCAAATTACAGAAGAGAAAAACAAAACATATGAGAGAGATAATAAAGTAAAAAAAATAACACATTTTATAAAAAAAAAAATCATTAAGATATTACCAACAGTGTAAGTGAATCGTAAAACTCAAGAACCACACCATCTATATATGGAGCCCCTTTCCCATATCAGTTGGCCCACCTATGCAATTTGCAGTTTATATAGGTAATAACCATAAACAAATCATAATCTACATGCTTTTATAAGTTCCCATATTAATCAATATGGCATTTTTATTAATATTTATTAAAATCATTACCTTATGGTTTTTTATTTACTTTCAATAAAAATTTTTACTGCTTCATTATTCGCAGTAACAATGAAGCTTTTCCCAACTGTCTCAAATGAAAAGTCAAATTTCCTGCGTCTGTCATGATCCGAGATACCATTTCGTCTAAAGATGTGTGAAAATTGCATTTTATCGATGGGATTTTAAATACGGACAAAAATATGAAATTTTAGAAGAATATATTTTACCGTTTATGATCCAAAGTTTAACATCAGCGGAAGATTTGCCAACAGCTCGGCGCAGGTTGCCAAAACTCAAAACAAAGTTTAAAATGGATTAAAGACTATGGTATATTGGATAGAAACTTTGTTACGCAAAATAAAAATAGCATTGAGGAAACATCCTGCCAGGTCCGTCAACGAATTTAAGCAAAAATTTCAAGAAATATGGGATTCATTTACACTAGAATATTGCCAAAACTAGGTAAACTTCCACTTGTTTTGTTAATATTTTACATATTTTATGATTTTTTGTAATTTCTTGTTATTTTGTTTGTTTTCATTAATTTAAAAAATATTTTCTGTAATTATGGAAATCCAAAAATGTTGTTAGATGAATTAAAACTGTTGTAAGTTTATGCTGGACTTTTGTTTTTGTTCTTTAAAATTTTCTTTTCTTTTCAATTTTAGGTTGGGCCAACTGACATCGGAAGGGGTTCATACTGGTATACGGAGATAACAGCTGAAACCGCAAACATAATTTGGGCAGTAAATTGAATAGTGGAGACTCAATACTCGTTAGTACCAGTTTAATTGTGGCTACAACATATGAAATCACCAAAAACTAAACTGAACTGTCATAAAATTGTAGCATAATAATAATATGCCACATATAATAAAGGCCAAGAAAAGGTCTTCTGATTAGGTTTAACAAAAAATTGGTTGAAACCATAATATACCTCTGTAAGACTGACCCTACTCTGGTTAAATGATGTTTGATGATGTTAAATGAAAACAAATTTAGGTGTATATTGATTCTAATTGACTCAAAACAAAATGTAAGGATGAGGTGAAAAACACATAAAAACAAATGGAATAGAGTAAATCAGGTACGGGGAAAATGGCATGGCTACGAAACACGAATCAAGGAAGAGGCTACACTTGATATTCAATAATTGTGGATGGTTTTTAACTATTTGCTACAATTTAAAGCTTATTAATTATTGGGCATTCAACTTGTCAAAAAACCATCGATACTGATGTTCTCGTATCCTGGTTCGTATTCGACTGCCTGAGCAGGCAGAGTTTAGTGGATATATTTATTCAATGACTGATTGTTCATATGTCTGCCAGCAATAACAAGTCTACTATAGATTTACAACTAGAGCTACTAATGAATACCTTGTAGTTTACGGCTGTCATAATATCCAAATATTGGAATAACAATAAAAATAACAAACAAAAACTTATCCTAATTTTAGCGAGGAAAACAAAAGCTAAAACTAAATTAACAAAACACCTTATTAACGAAATATATGCATTATTCGAAATACTAGTGTATAGAATTAAAATTATTCCATACGGCATAGCCTTAATCGTTTACTTGGATTCAATCAATAATGAATCATTATGCATATTTTCATGCAACTTCCCTCATGTATCTACAGGCAAGATTTCACTTATGCTTAAACTTTTTTCTGGAAACCGTCTGTTATAAAGTGGTCTTAACTTGTGCAACTTAAGATAGTATCGCTCCTACCCGAATAATGTGTTTATAATGATCACGGCACGACACTTGTTATCGACAACACGCAGAAAT